CCATTCGAGAAGCGCACTTCCAGCCCAACAACTCAATGGTATGTCTATACCAGAGAGTTCATGAAAACAAGCCATTGGGTCTCCGGACACTCGTTAGGTGAATTTTTTAAAGATTCGCTACTATGGACAAGTCAGGTCAATCTAATAACCACACTCCGGTCCTGTATACGTGTCTCGGAGACACAGTATACATCCATGGCTCGAGATTCCAGAGTTCTGGTGATTGATGACTACTGCCCGATTTGGCATAGAGTTTTGATATAAAAAGCTCCAATCTGAAATCGTCAGAGAGCTATTAGAAGTTTGGGAATGGTATTTTGATAGCTCAATTTGTTGGCAACAGCCTCAGATTAAGAAGTTGTGGAAGTTATAGGGGGCTTAAATTTTTACCGTTATGGGACCCTAGGAAGGTTTCCCACTGTAACACCATCAGTTTTTTGTCTTCTTTGTTCTGAAGGTTAAATCTGATGTTTTGTTCATATCAAAAAGTGAGTTCCTGCATGAAGGCAACTTTAACTGGTAGTTGAATGTCATTCATAGCCACAAATATAATTCACTGTTCCATGTGACGGAACATTATTAAGCAACAATTCCATACCGATAGAGCATAACTCTATTGTAATTGTTTACGTTGACTAGAGAATCCATTGTTTTTCCAACTCGGTTTGTGATAGAATAACCTAATAAAGAGTCTATTACCGTCTCGAAAGTTCCTGTAACCCACTTGGCAAGTTCATAGTATGATCAACTTGACATCTCTCTTTTACTGTCGTATAATTCGATGTGTACAAAGTTTACGCATCAAAAAGGTGTCCGTTTATAGACATCACCCTCATGATTACATCATCAGCACAGTCAGTTGGTGGAGAGAAAAAGCTCACCAAGGTTGTCCTTAGATATGAACAATTATCTATATAGCATCTTTCAACTTCCCTCTTAGGTGTATTGAGATGATAGAGAATATTCGTAGCTCAGAAAGATTATTCTGAAGGTGTTGTATTCTCTAAGCTGGATAATTCGAGAGTGAAACCTTAATTGTCATTCTTGAAAAAATCATCATCAAAAAGTGATCTGTGAGATTTTCCCCACAGCTCGCTTAATAGCATATCCTGATGACATTACATTTGGCTGGTTATTTCTGTTGGGATCTTGTCATCGTTTCTATGCGTATTTCGTTTGGTTATCCTATAGACGAGAGCTTGAACTTTCCTACTGTCTCTTGCCTTCCGTATTGGTTGACAGATTGGGTTAATGTCAGTATGCCTGTTGATCGTTGACTGACTTGAATCCCAAGCTTTGAAAAATTCTATGACCTTTTCTGTATCTCCCATATCCAGCATTTGCATATCCTCCCAGTTGAATTCATGTCCATAATTATCTGTATACGTTGATATGTTGGAAGATATGTCGTGAGTCTTCACTGCTAATTGATGTTGATGTAGGCGGAAAAGAAGAAATACCACTCTGTTGGATAGTTTTTCGCACCTTATTTTGTTGACAGCGTTTGGCTTGCCTGGATAATAGACAGTGAAGAAATTTTCTAAGCTATATAATCTTCATTTTCAGTAGTTATCAAATTATACTTCATGTTTCGACCGACAAAATTCAGATTATTTTTTAACCTTCATATATATAAATGTGGAATGTAGTGCAAAGTTATCGAACTGATAAACTACATTTGATTTATATATGTGATAGGTGAATAATTAGGGGAATGTGCATCTTTACTTCGTACCGGGATATTGTTGGTGCAGCGGCTAATTCATTTTCAGTCAACGATAAATCCTAATAATTTTCAGCTAGAGTTTCGTTCATTTTTTTCACTCGCGGTTATTACGATGATTTTATGATCAGAATAAAAACAGTTTCCTTGATCTAGAAAACTTGAAAATTATTCCTTATTTGTTTGCAAAGATTTGTGACTGATCATTTTACATGATTTGAACGAATGCTATTTCATAACAAACGAAAAAAGTAAATTGTATATTTTTTCGCACAGTTCTGTCGCGCACAACGAAGACGGTATATCTTAAAAATCACAAACAAATCACAAACTTATAAGTTTAAGGAATTTCGAGGAACAGTTCCACTGGTCATCAGTCACTCTTCGGTTACCAGCTATGCACTTAGTTTGAAGATAACAATTTAGAGGTAATATTCGTCATGGACTGATATCAGTTGGGGAACCATTGAAAATCTAGAAGCACTGGACAGCTGTTTCGTCCTAGTATGGGACTCCTCAACATTACGCATCCACAACCCGGCTAGGGGTCGAACTCGGGACCTTCAGGTTTCACGATGAAGGCGCTAACCATTCAGTTCATGATAAATACTACTTCTAAATTGAAAATCCCCAATCATCTCAAAAATACATTACTGTATAGTGCTCATTAGTGACTTGCTTCCAGATGGATATCAGGAAGCTCTTATGAGAAGCCCTGATCTGCAGGGTCAACCAGTCGCAAGTGAAGTGGATGCTAACTGAAGGAAGACCTTGGGTGATAGTCGCCCTGTGTCGTGAATTGACAGAAGTTGGGAATTGTGAACCATTGGGACCCGACTCAGTGGCTGAATGGTTAACGCGTTCGCCGTGAAGGTCCTGAGTTCCGTCCCTAGCCAGGTCGTGGGTGCGCACTGCTGAGGGATCCCATACTAGGACGAAACAGCTGTCCAGTGCTCCCAGATTTTCAATGGTTCCCCAACTGATGTCAGTCTATGATGAATACTACTTCTAGATAATATAAAGGTTGCATTTGTTGATCTGGATAAAATGATTGAAACGATAGTGACATGTTTGTTAAACTAGATTTCACATTCACATACAGTTTGCCGATAAAACATATCGGTTTATAATATGCAGATAACCCCAATGTATTCTTTATATGGAGTGATGATTCAAGGTGGAATGGCACACACCCTACACGCTGACAGTCACCTGCTTAAGTCAATAATAGTAGGATAAAAATACAGAAAAACTTACGAAGGTAAAATATTTCACTAGTCACGCAGAGATTACTAGGATTATCAGATTCAGGCTGCCTTCATCAATATCTCTATGTATGAATCTAGTTAGCAGATTTAAACTAAATGGACAGTTCCCGTAAAAAATCATTTTCTAAAAGCTTAAGAGTTATTGCCTTTCTGAAAAAAAAGTTTGATGGAAACAGCATAATGAAAGTCGTCGGAATCTTGCAGTGAAACAGTACATCCATATAAATGATCTTCATTATATTTGATATATAGCTTGTTTTCACCACACCTTAAATGACATGAAATGTTTCTTAAAAATTTCGTTGACAGTATTTGATTAATGTTTCCAGAATACTATGCCTGTTAACTACTAAATCCAGTTATCATATCGTGAATGGTCTTAGCTTAAAATGAAATGGATTCGACGTAATGTAGTGAAGATTAATTCTATTATTCAAACGGTTATATACGCTTTAGATGATCAACAACAAAAGAAACGGTGAAGTAGGCATGAATAGGATTAATACCTTTCAATATATGCTAATTCCGGTTCAGATAAAGTATCCCTGAACATTTTTATACGCTACACACAGAAAGAATCAACGTAGAACCTACCACACAAGTGCATCACCACTAGTTGCCATACTTCACATAACAAACAACAGGTAAGTGGAATAAGAGTGATATCAAAATAAACGAAATTGTGATAGAATATCCAATCTGAAGATAACAGGCAGTACGAATATTCAAGCTTTAGAAGATGTTAAGGAGTGAATACATTTGCACCACTCAGACCGTTTATCAGCCATGTCAAAAAGAATACTCAATCACTGGTTCCTTTTGTCTCAAGGACCCCAACTAGGCAGTCTACATCTCCCCACACGGCTCAGACCAACAGTATGAGACTTCGTTGACTGGCATCACATCTTAGTCTCTCCACTCTGAACCCCTCTCCCCCCCCTCGGCGTGACACATCGAGTTCACTAGTGTGGCTTGGCATGTCCAGGACATGTCGAAGCCACCTCAGTCGACTAAGGTTCACAACCCTATCGATCGGCTTGTCGCCCTTTCTTGCCAAGTACCGTTTACCTGACTTCAACATTGTTCAGGCGATGATTCCACCAAACGGGAGCAATGGTACGAAGATATCTGTGATCAACAATTTGTAGTCACCTTTAACGACCAGGTCTTAAAGCCGTACAATAGGATAAAACGGACTGCAGTGCAGTATACTCGTCCTTTTGATAGATGGTTGGATATCTCACCAATAGGTGCCACACATAACGAAAACGTGAAAAGGCCTTCTGTATCCAAGCTTAGCTTACATCATTCAGCATAACGTTCGAGCTGACGCAACTCATCAAGTAAGTTGGGTATTCGACACTTTCCACGACTTCACTTCGATCAATAAACTGAGATTGGCCACAAACCAGTCCTTGAGCATTATCTTACATTTTAAAGGTGCCAACGAAACACATACCAAACATGCTCAGATTTCTGTTCAAACCGCCATAAATCCACACTTATCGACATTACAAAGAAAAAGGAAAAGTACGTTCAATTAAATCTCAATTTTATTTTCATTTACACAGTTATTGTGTGAGTAATAATATACATTACTGATATTTGTAAATGAATGAAAGCTGTAAACGAAATGAGAAAAACGACAAGGAAACTCCTCTGTTCGTATACTTATTTACACTTTAAACATACATTGCTTGAATTGAAATTTGACTCCTATACACATCTTCGATTATTGAAGAAAAGATTAGAAAACATAGATCAATAGTTTGAATAATAATGATAATCAAAACCAAAAAATAAGGAGCTTCATGAATATGCAGCAAATAATTGGTCGTTTAACAAAATACTGTTATCACCACTTTGAATATTGTTGTACTATCTACTGATAATAAGTAAAAGTAGTATGTATATAAATGCGAATGTTAAATAATTACTCTTAAGGAGTGAAGAAAAAAGTTGTCTCAAAGTGACTAGTTGTTTACTAAATATGTATGAAAAGAAAAAAATTACTGCCAAGGTTTTTCTGGTTGACTGAAGAGATTTACAGTTTGTGAATAGAAATTATGCGTTAAGGACCACAAGTTTACAGAGGGAACAACATATAGAGGTTGCACATTGTATCCAGCAGTCATGGGAAGAAGACCAGGACCAGGTATGTTCGGGGTATTAGAATTTACATGAGGGATAAGGGGTAAGTTAGGATTTCCCAATAAAGGTTGATCTCTAGATTTATTACGAAAACGTGATGGAGTCTCAGGACAATTCTCTGGAGAGATTTGATGAGAAGGAATGAATGAAGACCCTGCATCCCTAGCACGTGGTGAGAATATTCTATCTTCATCAGGTATGCTAGATGAAGAACGTGGAGAATATACTGCTTTATGACTGGTTTTGGGTAGATTAGAATATGATCTTTTTGGTCGATAGAATGAATATTTCGGTTGAGTTTCTGAACAACTAGGTGTCGAAGGATCCACATAGTTTCCGAGCAGCGAAGGACGATGATGTCCACTCGACCATTGTGCTGGCGGTCGTCGATAATCAATATCCTCCTTATGGCTTCCAGAAATCCTGTCATCGTGATCTGATAATGAATCATCATTTGGATTCTTCAGCTGGCGACGCGCCATTGAATGATATACAGTAGGCTGGTAGAAATTACCATAATGTTTTGTATAACGACCATTTTGTCTCATATCTTCATCCTTTAAGAATGTTTCATTATCTACAACAGAACAATCAGACCTTTCAGTGGAACTGAAAGTCTCATCAATCAGCTTATACTCATCTTCGCTACGAGAGGCAGATTGGGAGCTACCGATTGAGGAGTTCATGTGTCGACGAGAATCAGGAACTGGTTCTGATTCCACATTTCCATGCTTAGACATATGCTTAAAAATACAGCCAACTTGCAAACTTTGAAATGAAGTCCGGTCAACTGATAGGTCATCTTCTTCCTCTTCTTCATCTGCATCCTTGTGCGGTTTACTCATTTTTGATTAGCAGTCACTGAATCGTGATGACGTAATGAACCACCATCTGTATCTATCTTTCGATATGGTGTTCCCTGCCGTTTTTCATTACTATGGCTAATACTTGAATCACTCAATGAAATGTAACTGACATTATTATGGGTATTTCTATTATTCTGAATCTCTTCATTAGCATCATCAACATCATCACCTTCGTCATCGAGGACTTCACCCTCCTCACTTTCATCTATGAATTTGTTTGACTGTATAGATTTTGGGATTATAGCCAAAGCATCACCTCTAGTATTCGAAGCAGGAGAGCTAGTGATTTTGTTAGATTCATTATAGTCGATAGCTGAATTTTGACTTTTGACTACTTCATTGTTATCCAAACTGGTAATCCTATCGTTAACATTAATACTATTGATGATTTTATTATCAGATTTACTACTTCTACCATAACTTTCACAAGTGATTGGATTTTGATGAATATTGTTGTTTTGTCTAGCATATTCTGTTCTCGCTTCACTGTCAGTACTCTTTCTGAACTCTGCTCTACAAGTCGGACGTCGTGTAAACTCTGACTGTGAATTAAATGGAGACGTTTCTTTCTTCTTTAAATTCGAGTAGTAACCTCTTCGGTTTTTAATAGGTGTAAACGAATTAGAATCCGTTCCAGTAACTGAAGATGAATCACTAGAATGTGAACGATGACGATGGTAACGATTGTCTGAATCAGCGTATGAAGGACTTCGTCCACGGGTACGTGGATATTTATACGGAGAATCTTCATATCTTCGATGAGGTGCGTATTTATCTGGGTTTCTAATTCTTTTTGATCGACAGCGACCTCTTGAGCGTTGGTTTCTGTACACAGATTTGCGTCTTTCATTAGAATCATATTTTGAATCTGATGGTGATCTGTAACGCCTACGATAAGAAATTGGCTTTGACTTATGATAACCAGGACTACGAGAGCGCCGATGACGTTCATGATCACGATGTTTAGAGGTATACCTGCTATCTGAATACCAGTAAGTTTACCAGGGCGTCTAGCAACAGACTTAGATGACCGACTTGTAGAAGTAGATGAATCATCAATGGGTAATGAAGATCGTCTACTGGGTGATGATGCTTTTCTGAAATCGCTTATTAATACAGATAATTGTGATGGTCGAATCCAATCAATAGTTTTAGGAGGAATTGGAGGTGGTTTACTAAATCTCAAGGTTAACAGACGGTTATTAGCATCAAATGAATTATCAATATCCATATCACTCTTATCCAATCGTGAGGACACTTCACTTCGATCATTTTCAATCTCCATATCAACAGATACATTTTGGCAGATTGGAGAATTTGCCAATGCAACCAAATTTGATGGACTGGATGTAGAAAGTGGATTTGGAGTAGCAGTACTAAATATCTGTCCATCAAGTGGGATTTCTTTCGGAATATTCACTGGATTCATTAACGTAATCAAGTCATACTTAGATTCAACTTCTGGACTTGATGGAGCAGGAATAACAGCTTTTGAATCATGAGTTTCTGGACAGATACTATTAGTTACAGGAGGTATTTCAAGAGTTTGATTTTCCTCAGGCTTTAATTGCTCAGATTTGAAATTTTCTGTCTTTTTCTGAGGTTTTGATGAGATTAATGCAGTGGCAAGTGCATACCAATCTGGTTCATCTGTATACACTTGACGATGGCGTAGTCGAGGATCTAAATGAGCATTAGGATGCAGTCTCGGATCACTAGCAGATGACATTGTTATTGAATTGGTGGCCTCTTTGTTAGGACTAGAATTTTCACTAGAATTTTGATGAGACAGTATAGAGATTAAAGCAGAACCGAGGAGATTTCTTCCACTGTCTGCTAAAGTTGTGAGAATACGATTCAGTGGAAGTTTCAGTTGCATGGAAGATACATACAGGGAAGCTGGAAAAAAAGACAGACGAAAACAATAGTCATGATGGGAGACAAATCTAATATTTATTGGTGGAATTTAACCGGCATCCATTTAAAAGTAAGGCGTACTGTTACCGTTATATATTTAAAAAATTTTATTCACTAAAATGACGCCATAAAGCTGCTGAAATCCGGGAGAACAGCAGAACCAGATGGGATTCTTCCATAATCACTGAAAACAGACTCAGAGACAACAGTGAACATGCTCACACCTTAGTTGCAGAAGGTTTGGAAGAAAGAAAAGGTACCTGCAGATTGGAAGAATGATTACCTTGTTAAACTTTTAAAGGAAGGAGGCCATAATCTTTACAAGAACTGGCACGGAATCATGCTCCTGTCAGCCCTAAGCAAAATATTATGCCGCATCATTGTGGAGAGACTAAAGAGTGATCTGGATTTAAAATTACGACCGGAACACGCTGGCTGGCTGGCCTCAAAGAAGAGCAAATCAAACCGAATTGCAACGCTACACATCATCATAGAACAGAGCGTAGAATGGCAGTCAAACCAACTCTACCTCAACTTCATCGATTTTGAAAAGGCCTTCGATAGAGGCGTCGATCGAGAAGTAATTTGGCAGGCAGCTGCTTCAACACTACGATTTTAGTGACACAAACCTTTATCAACCTCATTTAACAGCTTTATATGCTGTATGACGCCACATGCCGAGTGATCCACAAAGGAAAGCTCAGTGATGTCTTCAAAGTGAAGACAAGGTTGCCGCCTACTATCACCGATCATCATTTTGATTGTGATCGACTGGATCATGCAGAAAACTGTGAACTGTGAGAAGACGGGCATATGCTGGCTGGATCCATGAAAACACCCTAGGAAGAGATTGGCATTTCGCCACCGATGATGATTTATGTCTAATGTCTTGTCGCACAAACTAAAAGATCTACAGGCAAAAACCAACAAGTCGACAGAAGAGGCAAGGCAGCGAAAACGGGACTTCCTTCAAGTGAACGTAGAGAAAACAGGTGATGAAGATACCCAACTAATAACAACAAGAACAACCAAAAGCACCAATCACCATGAACGGGAGAAATCTGAGGAAAGTAGTCTCCACCTACCTAGGCAAGTCAGCAAAGTTTCAACTACAGGTAGCAGTGGCACAGATGAAAATCTCAAAGCCAGGATCGGAAAGACAGCAAGATAAGCCTTCATCAATCTGAAACCAGTGTGGAGATCTACTGCACTCGGCATAAAACATGAACAACATCCGGATTTTATTTGAATATTATATTATATTATTACAAGCCCAACAACCTCGCCTGGTTAACTAGTTCACTAGTTACTAGCCGGTCCTAAGCCCGGGTATACAGGGAAGGTTGGGCATAGGGCTAGCAACCCTACCCCGTAAAACAAGTCTAACCGCTAAAGAAACTTCAAAGCACAAACAAAATATAAAAAATGAAAACAAACTTATTCCCCGCTGGAATCGGAGAGGCGAAATGACGCCAGTTGGTGAAAGCCTTCGGGAAGCCAATTCGCCGATGTGTCTTCTCTCGATGAAAGCGAAAGTAAACGTGGAAACATGGAATGTTCGTACGATGTTTGAACCCAGTAAGGCAGCCCAGATTGCAAAGGAGATGAGAAAGTATCACATCGAAGTGCTTGAGATTTGCGAAAGCAGATGGAATGGGAGTGGACTCTCCAAACTGTCAACTGGAGAATCAATAGTCTACTCCGGTCACCCAGACGACAACCACGAGCACACTGAGGGAGTGGCTATCATGATGTCCTCAAGAGCATCGAAGGCTCTCATGCAGTGGGAACCAATCTCCTCCAGGATCATGACAGCAAGATTCAACTCAAAAGGAAGAAAGGTCACAATCATACAATGTTATGCACCTACAAATAATGCAGAGCAAGAGAAAAAGGAGGATTTCTACAGACAACTTCAATCAACACTGGACAAGACGTCAGCTGGCGATATCAAAATTCTAATGGGTGAGGTGATATGAATGCCAAACTGGGAGGGGACAACACAGGAAGAGAACTAACCATGGTCGAGAGATATCCACAAAGCGACATGGATTCAATTTCACCAGACACCAGGACACACTAAAAATCAAATCGACTTTATCTCAATCTCAAGAAAATGGAGATGCAGTCACCTTACTTGACACAAGGTCAAGAAGAGGAGCAGATGTAGGTTCGGACCACTCACTATCTAGTGGAAGGAACCTTCCAAATCAAGTTGAAAGCCTTCAAGGAAGCTGGTGATAGATCTCAATTCAAGTACAACACTAGGAAACTGAAGGATGAAACTACAAAGGAGATCTTCAAAGCAGCCATCAAGACAAAATGGGAGACATCGAGCAACATCCCTGAAGAAACCTGTGTGGAAGAACACTGGAAGTCTTTGAAAGCTATGTGGAAAGAAACCTGCACAACAGTATTAGGAAGGAAGAAGAAAGAAGACAAGGAATGGATTTAGACGGATACCTGGAAGCTGATAGAGGAGAGGAGGATGGTGAAGCAGAAGATAAACCAGTGCAAGGATGCTCAACGACAAGACGAACTGAGCACAATGTATAAAACACTGAACAAAGAAGTGAAGAAGAGTGCACGCAAAGACAAAAGACACTTCAACGAAACACTGGCAAGTGAAGCAGAACAGGCTGCAGGTAAGAGAGACCTGACGACATTGTATCAAATAACCAGGTTGCTATCAGGGAAGAGACCAACACAGATGAAACCAATAAAAGATGAAGAAGGAAATTTAATTACGAAAGAAGAGAAACAAAGGAAACAATGGGCCGACCACTTCAAGAAGCTCTTGAATCGACCACCACCTGCACTTCGTCCAGAAATACCACCTGCAGCCGCTGAATTACAAGTGAACATTAATCCCCCAACGAAAATGGAAGTCCTGAACGCCATAAAGCTACTGAAATGCGGGAAAGCAGCAGGACCAGATGGAATACCGCCAGAAGCACTGAGAACAGATGCAGAGACAACAGCGGACATGCTCACACCACTATTGCAGAAGGTGTGGAAGGAAGAGAAGGTACCTGCCTATTGATTGGAAGAAGGGTTACCTTGTCAAACTGCCGAAGAAGGGAGACCTCAGTGCTTGCAAGAACTGGTGCGGAATCACTCTCCTGTCCACCCAGAGCAAGCAAAATATTAAGCCGCATCATCCTGGAGAGGCTTAAAGATGCACTGGAGTCAAAACTGCGACCGGAACAGGCAGGCTTCAGGAAGTACAAATCATGTGCAGACCAAATTGCAGCGCTTCGTATCATCATAGAACAGAGCATAGAATGGCAATCAGCTCTCTACCTCAACTTCATCGACTTTGAGAAGGCCTTTGACAGCGTCGACCGAGAAGTAATTTGGAAACTGCTTCAATACTACGGAGTACCGCAAACCTTTATCCGCCTCATTCAACAACTATATGAAGATGGCACATGCCAAGTAATTCACAATGGGAAGCTCAGTGATGCTTTTCAAGTGAAGACAGGAGTGAAACAAGATTGCCTACTATCCCCCATGATATTCCTTATTGTGGTGGACTGGATCATGCAGCAAACAGTAGGCAGCGAGAAGAGGGGGATACGCTGGACGGCGGAAAAGAACCTAGAAGATTTGGATTTCGCCGATGACTTGTGCCTAATGTCACATAAACTTGAAGATCTGCAAGCAAAAACTAACAAGTTGATAGAAGAGGCAGCGAAGACGGGACTTCAAGTGAATATAGAGAAGACAGAAGTGATGAAGATACCGCACCACCACCATCAACAACAACAGCAAACTCCAGTCACCATCAACGGGAGAAACTTAAAGGAAGTAACCTCCTTCACTTATCTAGGAAGCACTGTTTCAACTACAGGCGGGACGGACGAGGACGTCAAAGTCAGAATCGGAAAAGCAAGACAGGCGTTCATTAGCCTGAAACCAGTGTGGAGATCTTCTGCACTCAGCATGCGGAACAAGATCCGGATTTTCAACACCAATCCAGTCAAGTCAGTGCTTCTGTATGGCTCAGAGACTTGGCGCGTTACGAAAGGGATTTCCAATAAACTACAGACATTCATCAACAACTTCTTACGCTGGCTCGCTACTGAAGATCAGATGGCCAGAAAGAATAAGCAACAAGGAGCTCTGGCAACGAACCAACCAAGAAGCTATCATCCAACAAATATGCAGGAGGAAGTGGAGATGGATTGGCCATGCACTGAGAAGGCCGACTGAGGACATCACGCGTCACGCCAGTTGCTCGAGTGGAATCCCCATGGGAAGCGACGAGTTGGACGTCCAAGGGTGATATGGAGGAGGTCGTGCGAGGAGGAAATGAGAGCTTCTGGGCTGTCGTGGAACCAGATTCAAAAGATCTCAGAGAACAGAGTTAACTGGAGACGTGCTACTGAAGCCCTATGTTCCACTAGGAACCCAAGGGACCAATAATAATAATAATAAATTACAAGCCCAACAGAAGTAAAGGTGCTGGAGAAGGGACTTAACTTCAGTGCAGCAGTTAATGGATTGAAACTTGAAGATGTCATTCCTAAGATTAAAATAGTATTAAGCTCAGTAGATAAGGCAGTGGCAGATGAGATTTAGGCACAATGTGCTTTAACACTCAAACTACAGAAGATGAGAAAACAGAATTTATCAAAAGCAAGAAAAAAATGTTGAGGAACCTTCGAAATGATAACAATTGTAAAATCGGACAAGGGCAACTCAACAGTAGTGGTAAACAAATCCGGTTACGTTCAGAAAGTCAAAGAACATTATAGAAACATGACCATACGAAGAAGTTAAAAAAACCCAATTATGAATAAGGTTTAAAAAACACGATGGATCTAATACACCGAAGAAAGTAGTTTTTAGGTGAATCGAAAGAGTTTAATTTAATACCGAAAACTAATAATCCCAGTAGGATTTACAGTCTTATCTAAATTCATAAGCCAGGCTTTCTTGTTAGACCTATAGAAGACTTCAGAAACACTCCTACTTATGACATGTAAATATTTAGCGATAGTACTGGGTTCAGTCGAGACTTACTAACTCTTATGACTTGAATCATAGATTAGATGACACACATTTAAGTGACAATGAAAAATGATTAGTTCTGATGTAGCTAGTTTGATTGGCATGGCTCTTAAAACAGTTAGAAACGAGCTCAATGACTATGAGTTTACACTACGAACTAAGGTACCAGTAGATGATATCATGCCAGGAGTAAAGCTATGCCTAACCTCTAAAATCTTTAGGTTTCAGAATAAAATATACAAACAAACAAAAGAAGTGTCAGTGGGATCATCAATATCCCCCAATTGTGGCTGACATATTTATGGATAGTTGAAGAACGGATGGCTGTAGAAAAATTTAGTCAGGCTCCAAAAATATGGATCCAACATGTAGACGACACGTTTACGGTGTTGAAATCTGAACACATACATAGTTTCTTCACACACGAGTTCAGTAGTCAACGCAATTCAATTCAGATATGAATTAGGAAATAGTGAAGGGGAATTAGCGACGTTAGATTGCAGAATAAAACGGAAACAAGATGGAAGTTTAGACACTAGTGTCTACAGAAAATCTTCACATTCAAATCGTTACTTAGACTTCAAATCGTCTCACCCTATATCAGCTAAAGGTGGCTTAGTAAAGTGTCTAAGTAACAGGGCCAAAAAACTTACTAGTAAAACAGAAGATCTAAGACAAGAAACCGGATACATTAAAGACATCAACAATTACCTTACCGAGTTAATTGATAAGCCCCTTAGGAGTTGTAAGAAAAATATAACTAATATTAGTAATACAGATGGTAATAATAAAAATGGTGTTAATAATAATAATGGTAATGCTGTTAAGAGAGAATTCAAAACCTCTACAGTATTTTCACAATGCAAATAAGACACCTCAGAAACGCTAAGTAGGATTCTCAATAAGACTGGCTGGGATTACAGTGGCATTTAAACCTACAAAATGACTTCGAAATAAGCTTTGTAGGGTAAAAGATCCCATTGATTCAGCTAAGCAGAATAACTTAGTTTACCAAATCCTTTTCAACGATTGAGAAGTCAAATGCATAGGTCAAAGTGGTCAGTCAAGGTCATCTAGGCTATCCGAGCACAAAAACCTAGCTATGTCAAAATTGATACATTTAAGCAAGGTAAGGAATTTAGAAAAAGCTCGCCTATGGCTATGCGTCCAATTATACACAATCAAACAATAGGTTGGGACAGGGTGAAAATCCGTAAAACTAACCTAGCGGGATGGAGGGTGAAATGGATAACTGAATTTTGATTCATCGAATCAACACCTAAAATATGCAGCAACAGGAATGACTCTGCACATGTTCCGGATATATGCAAAATATTACTACCCATATGACAAAAGGGGCGAGTAAACTGGGACTGATATATGACTATGGACTATGTCCGAAACATAATCCAGTCAACAATGCTGTTCCTTCACTGTGTGATAAATCTAATAAATCAATACAAATTAAACTACATTCGACCACAGTGCACAAGTTTTACTCCTTATATTAATGTTAATGGTCTTTAACCCATTTACCACACAAATCAGCTTATAACTACTAGATACAATAATTAGGTAGCATGTATACATGCATAAATGTACATTACAATCAGTAACAATAAGTGATTTACATGTTTTTCGTTGACCAAAAAGTGCATCTGAAGTGGCTCCTATCGGTGCACCAGCATCAGCAAATGGTAACTGATTGAAAGTAGATTTGTAATCATCAGACCAGCAACACATTTCACTGTATGGATATCGGTTTAGATTATGTGGAGTAAGTAATATTGCATGTAAGATATTAGTATCCAAAGTATCAGCTGTAGGTAAACCTAGAATATATATTAGGGTTATTGAAAAAAATGAAAATAATTATTTAATAAATAATTAATTATTTCTACATTCACTGTGAGATGAGTTTTATAGTTGGTCTATTGTTTTCCAGTTTTAGAACTGAATGTATTCCCCAGACAATTATTGAACCTAAACAAATTTTATGCGTACACAGTTATAATTTTCATGAGACGATACAATTAAACTACTAGCACCATATTATAACAGATGAGAATGAAGAAAGTAATTTCTGTACTTCAACTCCTCTATGGGATATGACAAATGTGGTAACAAGTTACCAACGTTATCTTTTCTCCCTTAAATCAACAATAAAAAGGTATCGAAAGTCTTTCTCTAAACAGATGATCGTTAACAAACACCAATCCTTATCTAGCCATTCGGTGAAGTTGGAAAAATCTTAAGAGAATGAATTTAATGTGAAGTTCCAAAATGTTTGGACTGGTGTACAAGCTGCGATCATGCAACTAAAGTGGTCAGTGTAATATATATATATATATATATATATATATATATATATATATTGGTGGAGTAAGCTTTATGCCCTAGGTAAACCTGAGAGAAATGAATATAATAAACAAGTATGCTTGTAGATGGCATATTTTAGGAAGCAATTCGGTCCTGATGAAAGTGGTTATGGTCAATTACCAAACAACGATTACTGTTATTATTATTTGTCCTTTGGGTTCTTAGTGGAACATACGGCTTTAGTAGCACATCACCATTTCACTCTCTTCTTTTTCTTTAACATGACTCTACCACTCCACACAAGCTTTCATTTCTTACTCACACAATCTCGGACCCCCAACTCATCGTTTCTTATTTGGCTTCCATTCGAGTGCCTGGTCTGGTGCGTGATGTCCCCAAATGGTCTTCTCAGTATATGCCTAATCCGATCCATCTCCACTTCCTTCTGCATAATTGTTTAGCGATACATTGTTGATAGGTTCATCGTCAGGCCAGAGTGAGTTCCTTGTTGCTTATTCTTATTATTCTAGCTTTCTGATCTGACCTTGAGTATCGACTGAGCGTATGCGGCAGGTGTTGATAAAGTATGTCTGCAGTTTGTTGAAAATGCTTTCGTAACGCGTCAAGTCTTTCAACCATCACATAGAAGCACTGAGTTACTTGACTGACATTAATGTTGAAAATCCGGATCCTGTTCACGCTTTATGCTGAGTGCAGTCTAGTGCAGTAGATCTTCACACTGGTTCCAGGCTAATGAAAGCCTCCCTTGCTACCTTTCTGATTCGAGCTTTGACATCCCCATCTGTGCCGTCGCCGCCTGTAGTTGAGACGATGTTGTCTAGGTAGGCGTAGGTGAAAGAGACTACTTCATGGCGATTGGTGCTTGTTGTTGTTGGTTGGTTATCTTCATCAACTCTGTCTTTTCTACATTTACTTGAAGTCCTGTCTTCGCTGCCTTGCCTCTTCTGTCAACTTGGTGGTTTTCGCCTATAGATCTTCGAGTTTGTGCGACATTAGACATAAATCATCATCGGCGAAATCCAGATCTTCTAAGGTCTTTACATCGGTCCATGTATGCCCATCTCGCTCCTTACAGTTGAATAATTCAATCCATTCCAGTCCACCACAATCAGGAAGATCATCGGTGATAGTAGACAGCTTTGTCTCACTCCTGTTTTCACGTCAAAGGCACCGCTGAGCTTTACATTATGAATCACTTGGCATCTTGCATCATATAGCATATAGCTGTTGAATGAGGTTGATAAAGGTTTGAGGTACTTTGTAGTGAAACAGCTGCCAAGTTACTTCACGGTCGACGCTATCGAATGCCTTTTCAAAGTCGATGGAGTCGACGTAAAGAGTTGACTGTCATTCTATGCTCTGTTCTATAATGATGCGTGGTGTTGCAATTTGATCCGTACATGATTTGTTTTTCCTGAAGCCAGACTGTACCGGTCGTAATTGCTAAGAGTGCGTAATTCTATTATCTTTAGTAATTTTAATAAAGGCAACTACGATTTTAATTCCTTCAAAACCGATCATCTACAGTGAATTCTTCGTAATAATTTATGGGACAGTTTTATTGTTTGTTCCTTATGGATACAAAAATTTTTAAGAATTCCTAAACTGATCTATATTAGGTATCTAGGCTTAAAACTACTCACTAAACTATGATCAAGTGAATAAACAATGAACTCTGTCTTTATTACAGATCATAAAGGATATTTGGTTTTAATTTTTCATTACTCATGAAATTGTTCTTGTGTAGTAGTAAAATCATTATTAATGTACTGTTGACACTAAGTAAGTACCCGTACCTGGAACAAGTCAGCTGACAAAGCTTCAAGCTTATTTCTTCGTATCTCAGTTCACCTTTAGCAATATAGAAAACAGTGGTTTGAACAAATATAAATTATAACCTGAGATTATAAATTTACTTATTTATTGGATCAATGTTCATGATATCAGGACACAGCTAGACCATTGGATTTATCTAGCTCTTGATTAAGACGCACTGTATGCAGAATAAATAAGGTTTTCTCTGTCAAGCCCTCAAAATTAACCAGTAATAGATAGACTGTAGACCAACAGTCAATTGCATATAACTACGTTCTAGATTCTGCACTCAGCATGCGGAACAAGATCCGGATTTTCAACACCAATCCAGTCAAGTCAGTGCTTCTGTATGGTTCAGAGACTTGGTGCGTTACGAAAGGGATTTTCAATAAACTACAGACATTCATCAACAACTGCTTACGCTGGCTCTCTACAGAAGATCAGATGGCTAGAATAATAAGAATAAGCAACAAGGACATCCGGGAACGAACCAACCAAGAACCTATCACTCAACAAATATGCACTGCAAGGAAGTGGAGACGGATTGGGCATACACTGAGAAGGCCGACTGAGGACATCACGCGCCACACCAGGCCCTCGAGTGGAATCCCCATGGGAAGCGACGAGTTGGGCGTCCGAGGATGACATGGAGGAGATCGTGCGAGGAGGAAATGAGAGCTTGTGGGTTGTCGTGGAGCCAGGTTCAAAAGATTTCAGAGAACAGAGTGAAATGGAGACGTGCTACTGAAGCCCTATGTTCCATTAGGAACCCAAGGGACTAATAATAGTGATAAAATAATAACGTTCTAGATTCTATGTAAACCAACAATCCACAAGATGAACCAAACTCAGTATACTGTTGACTAGCTAACCAATGAAACAAGAGGTTCAAAGATACACTATTTTATTACATAATCACTTTTTTAAAAGAGAAGCATAATCATGAGAAATGCTTAAGTTCACAAAAGTAAAAAACACGATAAACATACCTATTGATCTAGAGAATTGTGATTCAGGAAATAAAAACATTATACTAGATTCATCACATGGCATAGAAACCACACCAGCCTGTGTAACAAAAGAAAACGAAATGGATATACTGAGAATATCTGAATGTAGTACAAACTTGAAGGGAGTGATGAAAATAATTGATTAATCACTATACAGATACTTCAGTGATAGATTAGGCAATTTTACTGCCTGGCATTTACATACAGAAAAGAAATACGATTTTTTCGGCACAGTTATCTGTATCCAGTCGGAAAGATCTGAATTGAGTAAAATAAGAGGGAAAAGGTCAGTCAGTGAATCAGTCAATATCAACATTGAACCTAGGCGTTATCATGTAACGGTCCTAGGGATAACATACACACAAACACACCTGACATCAGGATACAAGGCAACAAAACATAGATTATATAATCTACACTTACATTACAATTACACGAAGAGGAGAAGGATTAAAGCAAATAAGGAAAAACGATTTAACACTAAACATAAAGATCAGCAGTGAATGAACTCGTGCCAATGTGATAGATTCTCAGTCATATGAAATCGTCTCTAACCATCGGTTTTGACAGTTCATCTATCCATTTAAATCAACATAGGACCCAGTATTACCGCGTAACCGTCGGAGTCGCTACAGTTCATATCACCACATCAGGTAGGAAGTCAGTGAAGCGCAAGATGAAGATAAGAAAATCCAGATTAGATTTGTTTATTCGATTTATCACACGCAGTGATGAAGTATTATTTACTTGATGACATGTGTTCGAAACGTCATCAAGTAAATAATACTAGATCACTGTATGCTATAAATAAATAAACAAATCTAATGTGGAGTTAATTTCTACCATAGTGCCCAAGTTTCACACCTATATTAATAAGAAAATTCAGTCAAGGGAAATATAAAGTACACCAGGAGAAAGAAAGGAGGAATGAGGAAACAGTGAGATTCGGTGTAGCGTCGTTAAGATGAGGATAATGTATGTATACATCTGCACCACTGACATCGGTTCTCAGCCATGTGATCACCTAGAGTCTCCAACCACTCACTGGTTGGTTCCTCTTGTCCAACAGACCCCAACCGACTAGTATGCATCCCCCACATGACTCAAACCAACAGTCAAACACTTCACACATTCATGTCATGTTTCAGTCTGGCTGAGAGCCTCGGTCCTTTTTCCAGTCTGAACCAACTTCAGCCAACATTGTATGACGGGGCAATCGGTGACTAGGCATACATAACACATGTCGGAGCCAACCATCTCAGTCGTTGAAGGTTCACAACCGTATCAACTGACTTACCCCTTCTCCCTGAAACTCTACACCTGAGCCTGACTTGTGCGTTAAATGGTGACATGGTGACACCACGGAATACGGCATCGAGCACGAAGGCCACGGTGGTCAAACACCTGCAGCCAACTTTCTCATGTCTTCCACCTTGAATGGCCATGTTTCACAGCCATCGAGTAGAACAGAGTGGACTGCTGTGCAGTACACACCATCCTTAATAGACAATTGGATATCACGGCGGAGCCACAGTTGGCGTAAGTTGGTAAAAGTCATTCTAACCTTTTGTATGTGTGCAGAGATTTCATCGGCCACTGAGGTAGCCACCAGAGCAGGTCTGATCCTATCTCTCAGGTAGGTAAGTGAAGTGGTTGACACACTCAACCACTACACTCTGTATTGTTCACAGTGGGGGGGCGGGGTGGGGAGCACCGTTGAAGACCAATGGTGGAGCAACGATTTGCATTTGGGTGGTGAGAAACTCATCCCAAACGTTCTCAAATTGTCACTCAGTGTCCAGTAGACTGCATCTTGTCAGCGTCTTCACCTAACAGGGCTATGTCATCTGCGTATTCCAGTTGGTTTTCACAGTCTCATGGAAAATAACTTTTGTAGGCTTATAACTCTCTCTGCACAACCCAGAGTGGAGCTGTGGCGTAGTGGTTTAGGTATTTGAATGCAAACCAATGGGTCACGGGTTCAAACACCGAAGTTTGGGCAGCCAGGTAGTACCAACAACCCTAACAGAATAGGTGTAGTTGATTGCCTACTACACGAACACGTACAAGGTTGCCGAATACGTTTACGTGTCGATTCGACGAGACTAAAATCAACAGTCAAGGACTATGCGGACTGATATCAAGTTTAATCTGACAACTTTTAAACTTTTCTGACTTAACTTCAGCCAATACAGTGCGTCAGAGTGAATGATGACCAGGTATGCGTGACGCATGTCCCAGAAACCTCGTTCAATGATCGTCGAGCACCCGGAATCTTCTCATACCCTTCCATTGATTAGTCATTTCATTGTCACCAGATAGGAAAGAGCGAATGCTGTACACTACAGTCGATTCTTCATAAGTATTCAAACATCTAACCAGTACATTAGTGATGTACTTCGGGAAAATAAAAATTAGCTTTTATGTATGCTAAAATATCGCTGGTCACTATTACCAAGGTTGACCTGTTTTCTTATGCATAAGGAATGGTTAAAGTATTTAACCACCTCAGTCTCTACCACATTAGAGGACTCTGTTGGACAGTGATTAGACGCAGAGCAGTTGCCGTTACACTGTTAATACCTATGCTATAGCAAGGATGCGAAGGCAAAGTCACACCGCAGGTTAACTGTAAAGGATGCGATAGCAGAAAGGTGTTTCTGTTTATGACCAGAATCCCATGCTGAGGCTACTTCCCCAAAAAGAAGGAAGACCTAAAAAATGGCACACTCGTGTAAGTACTGAATTCGGGCGAAAAATAGTCCGATTCTATGTCATGTAGAAGAATCTATTATGGTGAAAGGTATGTATTCGAACTCCTATAGGAGAGTAAAAGCACATGGGCATGTAACAGGTGAGTTGTGTAAGCTCAGTGTTCAATGACGTTGTTTCCTTCCTCCTCCTTCCCGACGTCCATTTTTCACAGACGCCCGAAATAGTAAATGGTCAGGCAAACAACAGCGGATGAAAATCCATCTACGGTTCACTCTCAGGGTAGACAACTAGAACGATGGACAGGATACTTCAAGGAACAATTCAACGGATTTCTCACTTTCTGCAATCCAGTCGGATTCGAAACCGAACATCTAGATATGGGTTCCAACACTTGCAGAAATCGAGAAAGCTTGAAGTAACCAGAGAGACACAATATCAATATAGAACTTCGTACATAAGTGCATTACTCTAGTTTGTCACACTTCACAGTAGTATACAAAGAATAAATGGACAGGAAAACAGTCATATCAAAGTAGACAAAAGTGTATGGAAGGAGAGGGAATTCAAAAATTAAGATTAGTCAAAACACTCAAGTTTTAGAAGACATCAAAGAGTGAATACATCTGCGTCGTTGTAACCAATTTCCAGTCATTTTCACAACTACTGATTCCTGTGGTTTCGAAGATCCAAGTCAGACAGTCTACCACTAACAGTCTTCTTCCAATCTAATCCCACTTCTGCTAGCATTCCACGTCAAGGTGGGTAATGGTGTGGCATGCATACAAGCTCAAGCCATCTAATTCACTGAAGGTTCACAATCTCATCGACTGAGGCTACCATACATCAAAAAAAGTGCAAGCTAACAACTAAACGTACTTTACTGTACACTAAGCAACGAATTACATATATTTTGTATGAGACCTATTAATACGCCTAACTGTCTCGACCTTGTTATTTGAAGCAGCAAACGAAAACATAATTCACTGGTTAGTAACAGTTTCACACTACATTAGAAGAAATCTTACCATTAGTTACTAGTGAATCGTTAAAAAATGTTTACAGTAATAATGTGAGTAGAATAAATGTGGCTTTTTCGCTCACTCTCTCAAGAGAATGGAGTATTTGGTGACAGAAAAATCATCATCGTATTATAACAATAATGGAAATAAACAATATAAAGATGCAGTTATTTTTACCCATGATAATTAAAGATTTTCGATTAATTGAATATATTAAGTGTTTATTCAGTAGTGGATAAAAACAGGTGTCAAGATTTAGTAGATCATATATAAATCACGTTCCTATCTGCCTCATTAAACTATCATCCACTCAATTTTCTCATCCACTATTGACATATCTTTCACAATACGATTTTGTTGCAAGGCAATTTTTATTGTCATTCAATTTATCATAACAAAAACTAAGATGAATGAAGGTGGAAGACATGAGAAAGTTGGCTACATGTGTTTGACCACCGTGGCCTTCGTGCTCGATGCCGTATTCCGTGGTGTCACCATGTCACCATTTAACGCACAAGTCAGGCTCAGGTGTAGAGTTTCAGGGAGAAGGGGTAAGTCAGTTGATACGGTTGTGAACCTTCAACGACTGAGATGGTTGGCTCCGACATGTGTTATGTATGCCTAGTCACCGATTGCCCCGTCATACAATGTTGGCTGAAGTTGGTTCAGACTGGAAAAAGGACCGAGGCTCTCAGCCAGACTGAAACATGACATGAATGTGTGAAGTGTTTGACTGTTGGTTTGAGTCATGTGGGGGATGCATACTAGTCGGTTGGGGTCTGTTGGACAAGAGGAACCAACCAGTGAGTGGTTGGAGACTCTAGGTGATCACATGGCTGAGAACCGATGTCAGTGGTGCAGATGTATACATACATTATCCTCATCTTAACGACGCTACACCGAATCTCACTGTTTCCTCATTCCTCCTTTCTTTCTCCTGGTGTACTTTACATTTCTCTTGACTGAATTTACTTTCCTTCATCTACCACTTCACCGTCTTTTTACTTGATGCAGTGATATGAGGTGTGGCAACTCGGACCGTTACGCAGTAATGCCTGGTCCTAGGTTGATCTGGATGGATTTAGTAGTAGAAGTAGCTTATCTTGGGTCAGGGTACTGCTGACATATTGGCATTCATATTAATTTTTGAATATGAACAGGACACAGAAAGTGTATCTATCTTCAATTAAATCGAAACCAGTTGTAAGTCGAACGGCAAACTAAATTCTACCACCTCTACCTTTTTTCATCGAAATACTAAAATACCGGTAGATAATACGAAATCCTTTGAAGACAGACAATTCTATGACTTTCTCTGGCTACGCCTCAAGAGTAGAATAAATGGTGAATTCAGTAATCTTCTAACTTAGAATAAACAACTTTTGAAGAGAATGTACAGAAATTGTCTAGCTACATCATATGATATTACTTAATGTTACTGTTCTAATGTGAATATCAGTTTTTTTTTAAATAAAATAATTCAAGCCCTTTTTCTCAGTTAGTAGTTCTAATGTAGCCATTGTAACCCTGTAATACAGTCTTACCTTATATTCCAAAGGGCAAAAGAAGTTCTCAATGCCAAAAGGTTACAGCTGTCGAAGTTATGCATGTAAAAATCTTACCTTCGGTGTTAAAAATCTTGTTATTAGAGTATAAAGACCCACACAACTAAACAATCTAGCTCAGAGAACACAATACAATTAAAGCCGTCCACCTGAGCTACAAATATTTCTCCACCATCTTAAAATTATATGAGCGTAATACGCTTCACATTGTTCGAAGATGAAGGACTTCTCTAAGAGTCAAGTTTCCACAAAAGAACAACTATTCTTTCCCTATGAGTGCCTGCCTATGTCAGCATGTTTTGCCAAAGAGTGTCAGATATGAACTAACGATTGACAGTCCAGTGGGACAGAAAATAGCTGAATACACGACTAAACAACCCGGCTCAAAGAACACAATACAACCAAGACAAAGACATGCATTCAATGGAATGCTGCTAATGGGACCTAAAGTGAACAAAACTGCACAGTGGATAAGGCTTGACACTGCTAAATGATACCTTCGAAGATATCCTTAAATTATGAGGTGGACGATGATCCATCATAGTATTCATCAAATGCCAGTTTTCTTGTGTACATCAAAAGATTCTATGTACAATGCAATCTCCAGGTCACAGCAATGCCATATAACAATTAAAGTTTGAAAATTAACGTTAGTGCTTACCTAAAAGACAGGATACTAGATTCAGTAACAACAAAAAGGAAAAGTGAATGTTGTCACTGGTCTTAGGTGTGTATGTCCCCATGTGTGTGTGTGTGTGTGTGAAATTGTAGACATCCTAGATCGCAGAAGATATAGCTAGAAATCGATTGGAATACCACAGATAATTACACTTATTTTGTTTGTTTCAAATAATGAAAACCATTTTGTCCTATTCTCTTTATTTTTTTATGATTGTCCTGTTTTAACTTCTTGTTTTCGATTCCCTTAGCTTGCCTTTGTGCCTCCATGTTGACTTCTGCTTGTAAGATAATGAATATACCAACCAGAAGTACCATATTAAGTCAGTTTGCTTGTCAGTGTTGGGAAATGAAAATAAATTATGCACAGTATGAAAGTTTAAAGTAATTAGAATTATCTACAAAAGAATAATTTACTCACCATTTCACTATCTTGTAGAGCTTGACAAAGTTGTGCCATTTCAGTGCGATGACCACCAGATTCGTGTAGTGTTAAACGGAAATAATTACCTCTATAACCACCAAATGGACTTGGATCAGATTGTAATGATGATGCTTTGATAGGATTCAAACGAGGAAGACACCATTCTTGATCACGTGGAACAGACACCAATACTGGAGGTCCGTTCACATCAAATGGTTTTGATGTCCATGGTCTTAAACCAGCAAGTTCATAGTGCAAAGATGCATGAGAAACCAATCGTTGAATATGTAAACATGGCTGAAGACTGTAATTACAAAGATGAAGTTTTTAAAATAGATTTGTAAGGAGAATTTTCAACAAAATCTTTAACATGAAAATAGATTTGAAAGCTTTTTAAAAGTTAAGAATATATCTAAAGCATAACCAATTCAATAGGTCATAGAAAAATAAATTTCATTACAACCGTTTAAAATAACAATGAACTTTACCATTAAACTGTTGTATACCTCAGAAACAAATTAAATCACTAGTTTACAACAGATTTAAATTCATTAATAGACTGACATTAAAGGCTGTAAAACTTAAGTTAGTAAACACACATATACGTTAAAAGAAATACCCAGCCGATATTTAGCCTGTGGCTCTAACGACATACCTGGCCACTAATAAGCATCCAGTTGTTACTTTTAACAAAGTGAATGAATGATATTGTTTTGCTTGCAATTGTAAAAAATAATAATGCAGAAGACGTATACTATGGTCAGGAAAAATGTCATTTTGGAGAGCAGCAAAACTGTTAGTAATGTGTGTGTATGCAACATATCCAGACAAGTTAGCGATTATTCGTGTTATGTAGTAAGTCAATGAAATTATCATTGATGAGGGTCCTGTTTATTATCTCTCAAATATTTCAAGATACACTTTTACTAAATATCAAAGCTTTATTTTGAGGAAAGGTTCACGCTGAATAGATACCTGCGAGTTCACTACAAGCGAGTGTTAACTAGATGTTTACTTACTAGAATTCAATGAATATACACAGACGATATTTTGAAACATTAATGGAAAATAGCTGAACATCAAAATTTATTAGTCAGTACAAAGAGGTCACCTGGAGAGACTAAAGGATGCTCTGGATTCAAAACTACGACCGGAACAGGCTGGCTGGCTGAATTCAGGAAGTACAAATCATATGCGGATCGCATTGCAACGCTACGCTACCCTACGCATCATCATGGAACAGAGCATAGATTGGCAGTCAACCCTCTACTTCAACTTCATCAACTTTGAAAAAGCCTTCGACAGCGTTGACTGAGAAGTAATTTGACAGGCAGCAGGTTCAACACTACGGAATACCACAAACCTTTATCAATCTCATTCAACAACTATATGAAGATGCCACATGCAAAGTAATTCACAATGGGAAGCTCAGTGATGCTTTTCAAGTGAAGACAGGAGTGAAACAAGGCTGTCTACTATCATCCATGATATTCCTGATTGTGTTGTGGTCGACTGGACCATGCAACAAACTGTGAGGAGCGGGAAGAGGGGGATACGTTGTTTGACCGGGGAAAAGATCTTAAAAGATTTAGATTTCGCCGATGACTTATGTGTAATGTCACACAAACCTGAAGATCTACAGGCAAAATCCAACAAGTTGACAGAAGAGGCGAGGCAGCGAAGACGGGACTTCAAGTGAACGTAGAGAAGACAGATGTGATAATGATGCCCAACCAACAACACCACCAACAACAAGCTTCAATCACCACCAGCGGGAGAAACTTAAAGGAAGTAGCCTCCTTCACCCACCCTCCTAGGCAGGACTGTTTCAACTACAGGCGGTGGCACAGACTAGGACGTCAAAGCCAGAATCGGAAAAGCAAGACAGGCTTTCACTAATCTGAAATCAATGTGGAGATCTACTGCACTGTACTCAGCATAAAGAACAAGATCCGGATTTTCAACACTAAACCCAGTCAGGTCAGTGCTTCTATTTGGTTGAGAGACTTGACGCGTTACGGAAAGCATTTCCAACAAACTACAGATATTCATCAACAACTGCCTACACTGACTCGTTGCTAAAGCTCAAATGGCCAGAAAGAATAAGCAGCAAGGAACTCTGGCTGGTAATGAACCAACCAAGAACCTATCGCTCAATAATTATGCAGAAGTAAGTGGAGATTGATTGGGTATGCACTGAGAAGACCATTTGGTGACATCACGCGCCAGGCCAGGCATTCGAATGGAACCCAGATGGGAAACGACGAGTTGGGCGTCCGAGGTGAGGGTGACATGGAGGAGGTCGTGTGAGAAAGAAGTGAGAGCTTCCGGGCAGTCGTGGAGCCAGGTTGGAAAGATTGAAGACAACAGAGTGGAATGGCGACGTGCTACTTACTGAAGCCCTATGTTCCACTAGGAACCTCAGAAACAAATAAAAATGTAATAATAATATAAAAAACTAAGAGGTCAAAACGGTGAAACCTGCAGAAGAAAAATGTCTTGATAACCCCTCCGTGAAATGGCGACTCTAATAGTATAGTCCTTCAGCACAGACATAATACTGCTAGCAGATAAACATACAAGGCAGATTAGGTTAGATTAACAAGAACTGTCACACCTGTATACTCTACCAAACGCTTCTGTCATCTGAACGATAATGTCACATCCTATTGCATCTACCAACTTAAATATATGTATGCTGATGCCCATAGAGGCGGCACAGAGATTTATGCAAGTAAGCATCTTGGAGATATTCCAAAGTAGATTTAAAAGCAAATCGAATCACCTTAGCCTATAAATGTTGAAAGCAGGCATTAAGGCTCTCCGACTGTGAAACGAATCAGTAAAGCAGGTCAGAGTATTGGTGTTTTTATGCATCTAAAGCACCTACATACAAAACGTGCTGAGGACAAATCTTCAAATATGTTGAGGCTTTAACCACTACTAGGTAGTTTAAATTACTTTAGTGCGTTCAAAAACAATTTGTTATTACATTAAACCTTCCTTGGTGAACTTAGCTCTGAAACCAAGATCGATGTACTATTATTTTTGCTGCATTGATCCCTCATGCTATTTTGGCCCTTAGTTTAGCCTTTTTACTTGATTGACCATTTTTATTCTACAACATTTCCTACTTGAGGTAGCTAGAAGTGTGATACATTCACTTGAGGACTCAACTCTCAATCACAGTCATTGATTCAATTTCCCTGCTCAATTACTAAGATGTGGGCTGCAAACACAAGTATTTCCCAGAAAATTTAACCAGCAAAGGTAACTATTCTTAATCATGCCGTTATAGATCCGATAGATCCAACTAAGCAAAATAATCTAATCTATCAAATTCCATGTAATGACTGCCAGGTCAAGTACATAGGTCAAACTAGCCGGTCGGCATCAGTTAGAATAGCAGAACATAGGAATTTAGCTGAATATAGAATGATAGACTCGAATAAGATCAATAATTTAGAAAAAAAACTCGCCTACTGCAATGCATGCATGAACAGACAACCATACAATAGGGTGGGTGGGATAAAACCACTGTACTTAAGTCCAATATAGTTAGGTGGGGACGGATGGAGAGATTGATTACCGAGTCTTTGTTCATCGAATCAACCAACACCCAACACATGTAATAGAAATGACCCAACACCTATACCAGAGATATGGAATAATTTACTGCGGATAAAAACAAATAGTATGAGGTGACAGAACTATAAAAAGCAGACATCGAGAGGGATACGATTCTATTGATATGATTATGAGGGATAAGTTATGCTCGAAGCGTTATCCAGTGAATAATCCTGTATCACAGTGTCTGTTAATGAATCAAATTAACAAATCTAATGTGGAATTAAATTCTACCACAGTGCCCAAGTTTTACACTTATATCAAAGAAAGGTAATTATTTTAAATCACGCAGTTATAGAAATTCGAAATACTTGCAAAATCCCGCATTTGGCTTCCGAAGATCGTACGATGAATGATTTATTTGCCCGTCTGAGAGTAGCGCGTTGTTCTTAGCAAACAGAGAATCAAGCCAAAACAATAGTAATTTAAACAGTGGGTGAGAATCACAGTTTGTTTTCAAACATAGTTTCTGAGGTCCAACGAGGTGATCGCGTGCGTTAAACAAATAACGCATGTAGATAATAGATTGTAGAGACGGGAATATATCAATGAATCCCCTGTGGACAAGCTTTTAACCTCTTTATCAATGAATCCAAGAATAAACTCTGAACCATCTGTTCAAATGCTACAAATCTACTCTGCAAAGTTAAGTTTGATTTCCTAATTTAGTATTTGCGGTTTAGAAGCAAGTAGTGAGTTGCTTCATTCTGACATAATGAAGAAAATAACGTCACCCACATCAACCCTAGAAAGGAGGAAAGTTGCTTAGACGTAAATGTACCGACTTCCCTGATTGTAGAGCTATTTTCGACAGACTGAGATTCCTTACTGCTTCCTCGAAGATTGGGAAAATCAGCGGATGAGACCAATCACATGAGACCCTATCTTTTTCAGCCAGCCAATCAGCGTGAAAATGGAACCTGACATCAAAGTAGAAGGCATCAAGAGGAAAGAAAGGGGAAAAAGTAGCTAAAAGTGGTAGAAAGCTGTGGAAGGAGAACAAGATGGGATGAAGCAATAATGAAGTTCGGTACAACACCTAAGATGAACACAACAAATGGATCTCTCTGTGCGACTGGGATTGATTCTGAGCCATATCACTCATAGTCTCTAACCACCAACCTCGGCTGTCATGGGAATCACAACCGGGAAGTAAAGGAATAAAGACTTCAGCGAATAAATTTGCCTTTAGCAGCATCATCCTCTGTAGCTGAAAAATCACATTCAGATATAATAATACAATCAATACAATTAGTATGCTGATTTATTGGCAAAAAGCATGTTAATATTTGTTAATTTAGCTCAGTTACTAATTCCCTTGTGCAACAAGGCAGACGATGACTAGACACCACGGTCCATAAAGGTTCACAACAACAGTAAGTGATTTACCTCCAGCCTACATCTCTACACCTGACTTCTGCGTTGCCGACGTGGTGGTACCATGACACAACCTAACCAATGGTGGTTGAACACTTCGAACTTTATCATGTCCCCTACCTTTATATTTTCACAGTCATATGGTGAAACAGCGAAACGCAGAGCAGAATACGAAACCTTTATTAGACAAATAGATATATATGTCACAGCAGCGCCATAAATAAAGTAGGTTGGGGGAAATCATATGGACCTTCTGTCCTCGTGCGGAGATTTCGTCGATCACTAACCCACTGAGGCTTATCCGACATCCCCAATAAGGAAGTGGTCAATGCGATCAACCAATTCATCACTTGTGTACATAAGTCAGTTTTAATATAATTCCAGTGTGTTTAAAAAGTCTAAGCAAACATTTTTTGAGCGTTTCGCTGTGTATGATACAGCTTCTTCAACAGAATCAACAATTCACTACCTGTTGTAAGATAAGATAACAACACTGGGGCAATTAGTTACGTTTGGGTGTTGAGAAACGCACCCGAAACACTGCCAATTTCGCACTCTTGACGTTTAAAAAGACTGAAAATTATCAGCATCTTCAACGAAGACAACTCTATCATCCACTTACTCTGGGTCTACACAGGAGTCTCCTGTGACAAGACAACGACAATTTCGATAAAGTAAAATAAGGAGAGGCAAACATCCGTAAGTACGTGCACAATCTACTTCCTAACTTACCATAGGCTCAAACGTATTCGAGTACTTATTCGGTATCCTTTTCAGTGAGAAACACTACTATAAAACCTTTCGAACGATGCATTCAAATGCCACCTTCCCGCCAAGAAACACAGCTAGTCTCACGGGTTGGTGTGTCTGTGTTCCAGAACCTGAAGGAGAGTGAATATCTGGTCGATACAGCCACGACCAGTATACACTGAAGACAACCTGGGTTTCTCAGGTTTCGTATTCTTGAGATTCATTTGAACATCAGACAACTACAAAAGCTAAAATCTTGGACACTATGTTCGGCAGACTGATTTCCCTGTGGTTATCACCGGAGGACTTTCTCTATTTCATGAAGACTGTGACAATCAATAATTGCGATCAGTTAGTAGGGACCATATGTAACCCTCATAAACTAGCTAGCACCTCAGTTAATCTCACCAGTAATTCTCGACAGCTGTCTTCAAATGCCTCATTAACCGGAGAGTAGCTGAAAACCAGTTGAACCATCTCCCTAAATCTTCTGCCTATCGTTTCAGTCTTTGCTACCGAGAGTGGATTATAGACCCATCGTGAGGTGTGGTAACTCAGACTGTTACGTACTAATGTCAGGCGCACGTTGATATGGACTGATTGATAGCATCCTAGACTAGAACGGCAGGTTCACGAGGATCATTGAGAAATTTGCATCGGACTGAGTATCGAAAGACTTATTTTGATAAGGGCGAAATTATTTAAACACTATAACCATTAGCTATAAACAGATAATGAATATTAAAATCCAGGTAAATAGTCAAGAGAATTTCAGAAAATTGGAAAAGTGTACAGATTCCCCCATAAATAATTACCACATGAACAACCACCAGAAACAATGCATTTGTTTAGTTTTCTGTATTCTGAAGGATCTTCAACAGCGTGGACTTATGAACTTTCCCAAGGAAGAATACCAAATTCGAATGTAACAAAATCGAAACCTACCCAGCTATGTTGTGCACATTCGTATGGTAGGCAATGAACCGCAACATCAAGTGTATGAGGGATGATGATACTACCTGGTTGCCTAAACGTCGATATGTGGTGTCCGAAACAGTAACTAACTGGTTGAAAGTTATCTCCCTAAACCAATGAGCCACAACCCCAGAGGATCATGACAGGTACAAAACTTCTGAGTCCCACTTTAAAGGTCTATGAATACATCCAAATAAAACAGTTCCAGAGCAGGTTAAAATAAATTAATCATTAAACGACTAGATAAGGTATATTTGGTGAGAACCACTTGTTTGGTAGCAGAAAAAGCCAACTTACATGCCATCAAATACAACCATCTGTCCTTTACGAAAGGTAGATATTTCTACAGCCAAAGAATATTCTGGTTTTGGATAACCCCAAGTAAGAAGCGAAATCCCAATTAAAGTCGACGGTAATTCACCAGTAACAGCATTAAAACTTGTTAGACTATTACTTGAAATATTGTCATTAACAGAAGCATTACTACTATTGTTGTTAATTTTAGAGCATTCAGAAAATTCGAATAATTCACACGATGCTTGTAGTCTTCTTGCATGAGCTATAAGTAAATTTAAGAAGCCAGTAGTTTGTTGTTTGAATTGTTGATTTGGTGATGTCAACTGTTCTGAATTCTCATCAATACCAACAGTAGTGGAATTAATAGCCGGAGGACTTGGAAGTAGACCAGTTGAGGAGGCAGGACTAGATAAAAGTCCAGTTGTTACATACCTGTAAGGATTTTTACCTCTGGTTACATTAGAACGACGGTTTTTCTAAAATATGAAGAGAAAAAACAGTGAAATTCTATACATTTTCATGTTTAGTAATAAATCCTAGGTAGCACTGTGTTCACAATGAAAATAAACACATAAATGAAAGATGGATTGGGTGAAGAAATACTTATTCTTAATTAGGTCCTCATCATCGGTTTTACACTAATATATGGGTTTTACATTTAATGGCATAATACCAGTCAACTAATTAATAAGTGATAGTCATAATTTCTCGACCTGAAGGCAGCATTCAACTCTGATGATCGAGAAGCCTTATGACAATGTCTCTCACTGATAGGCGTGCTGAGTAAGTACATCACCTTATTGAACGCAAGGCTCTCTACTCGAACACTCGTGGGTGTGTTGAGCCTATAATGAGATGTACGGGGAGCTGTACTCATCGAGTGGTGTCCGTAAAGATTGCCCACTGTCTTCATTCTTATTCAATTTTATAATAGACATTCTCATGGAAGTCTCCCTCTCGTCACCTGACTACACAGAGGTTGACCTGGTAGCAGAAGAATTTTTGTTAGACCTGGAATACGCAGATGACATAGCCCTGTTAGGTGAAGACGCTGACAAGATGCAGTCTACTGGACACTGAGTGACAATTTGAGAATGTTTGGGATGAGTTTCTCACCACCCAAATGCAAATCGTTGCTCCACCATAGGTCTTCAACGGTGCTCCCCACTCCGCCCCCCCCCACTGTTAACAATACAGAGTGTAGTGGTTGAGTGTGTCAACCACTTCACTTACCTACCTGAGAGATAGGATCAGACCTGCTCTGGTGGCTACCTCAGTGGCCGATGAAATCTCTGCACACATACAAAAGGTTAGAATGACTTTTACCAACTTACGCCAACTGTGGCTCCGCCGTGATATCCAATTGTCTATTAAGGATGGTGTGTACTGCACAGCAGTCCACTCTGTTCTACTCTATGGCTGTGAAACATGGCCATTCAAGGTGGAAGACATGAGAAAGTTGGCTGCAGGTGTTTGACCACCGTGGCCTTCGTGCTCGATGCCGTATTCCGTGGTGTCACCATGTCACCATTTAACGCACAAGTCAGGCTCAGGTGTAGAGTTTCAGGGAGAAGGGGTAAGTCAGTTGATACGGTTGTGAACCTTCAACGACTGAGATGGTTGGCTCCGACATGTGTTATGTATGCCTAGTCACCGATTGCCTCGTCACACAATGTTGGCTGAAGTTGGTTCAGACTGGAAAAAGGACCGAGGCTCTCAGCCAGACTGAAACATGGCATCAGTGTATGAAGTGTTTGACTGTTGGTTTGAGTCATGTGGAGGATGCATACTAGTCGGTTGGGGTTTGTTGGACAAGAGGAACCAACCAGTGAGTGGTTGGAGACTCTAGGTGATCACATGGCTGAGAACCGATGTCAGTGGCCCAGATGTATACACATATTATCCTCATCTCAACACTATGCCGATTCTCACCATCTTGTCATTCTTTCTTTCTTTCTCCTCGTACTTTATATTTCTCTTGACTGAATTTTCTTATCTTCATCTTTCACTTCACCGTCTTTTTACTTGATGCAGTGATATGAGGTGTGGCAACTCGGACGGTTACGCAGTAAAGCCTGGTGCTATATTGATGGATGATGATGACAATCAGAGAAATGTAGTTCGAGGTTAGTGGGGATTTTTATTTTCACGGTAGTATTCATCATGGACTGGCATCCATTAGAGAGCCAATGAAAACCTGGGAGCACTGGACACCTGTTTCTTCTGAGTACGAGACTCCTCAGTAGTACGCACCCGCGACCTCACCGTGAGGGGTCCAACTCAGAATCTACAGGTTTCCCGATGAAGGAGTCAATCATTCAGCCGCTGGGTTGGAGCTAAATGGTCTACAGTTTACTAATTCTGTCAATTCTAGATATAATGCGACTATCCACTAAGATTTTCAGTTAGCATCCATATCACTTCTGACTGGCTGACCCTAATGGTCACAGCTTCTCAACAGAACTTCGAGATATCCATCTCAAAGCATGTTACTAATTAGAAAAATGAAGATAACAAACTGATGAATACGGCAATTACGTAAGGTTAAGAAGGGCGTCGAATAAAATAAAACAAATTGTTAGTTCACTTGGTTGCACAGCAACTAATATATGAAAGTTGAAAAGCTTGGGGCGAATGGATTCATTTTAACAGAAGTGTCATAATAGGGTAGACGAGAAATAAAGGAGATTGGTAATATGAGCTGAAGAAGGGGAGAGGGTCCTTTGTTAACAAAAACTGAAATAAATTGAACTTCGACGTTATTTAATCCTGGTGAGCAAAGTAATGACAAAAGTTTCACAAATTTTTTCTGACTACAAAGATTCAGTTTTTAAAGGTGCATGTTATCAGCTACTGATGTATGTGAATGCCAAAATTTCGAATCCCACACGGACTAGTACCAACCAATGAAGCATCAGTTTAAGATAGTTTACCACAATCTAACATCCTAGTCGATAATGATCTAGATTTTGGAGTGACTGATATGAGGTTAAAGTTTCAGTAGCAACACATACATACACACATACACACACACACATACATACACACACACACTGAAATAAGAGCATATTTTATAGAGAAGTTCAAAATCAAGCGAAATACATGTTCCGTAATTCAACGCATGAAGGTAAATTCTCTCTTCTTTAATGCACGAGACCAGTAAAGCGATATCATATTAGTAGCAGCCAATATGCTTACACTAATGTAACCGGTTCAAAATATGGTCGATTTATAACAGTATGAAGCAGCTGACGCATCACAACATCTGTGCCCTAAATACGCCTGACAACGAATGAAGTGATAACCAATAGTATCACAGTTTTTAGGGAACTTCAGTAGCTCCTAGAGAAAAGGTAAGCAAGAAGTTTGAATATCCTCAGTGCTTTATTACTGGAACAAAAGTTAAACACAACAAACAAATTAATACTTAATCTCTTATACTGAAATACTTTCCCTACCGATAGCTGCTACCATGACGTGGTGGCCGAGCTTGCATATCACAATGCCTCAACGAGCAATGGCTAGTGGAACACTTCTTCCCTCGAGGTCTTACCATGCCAGAAAGGTTTGTTGGATAAGTGGTAAAACGAAAAGCAGTTACCGTTGTAGTGTAAACTACCACACTATGACAGGAGTCTGAGGATGAAGTCGTACTGCTGATAGATGGATGAGGTGTGACGTCAGTAAGGTGTCTTCCCTTGGATGACCAACAGTGCCACACCGATGCTGCCTTTCCAATGGGAAGGGGGGTTAGAAAAAGTCAGTCCCAGATACAGAACATATTACCACCCCCTCGTGGCATGCCGATGCTTGCAACAGGTATTCATAGTTGGACTTGAAAGCAAAAAAAAACACTAAAAATTGGCAAAAGACCCCATGTTACCGGCCTTAACCAGACGTTTCATGGGCTAATGCGGTCACACGACAAGAAGTGTTGCGTGGAACTTTCACTTTCGAAGTAGTGTTGAAATTTAGCACAGCTGACATAGTCCTGTTAGGTGAAGATGCTGCTGAAATGCAGGGTCTTCTGAAAGTCTTGAACATAAATCTGAGTATGTTTGGCATGTGTTTTGCACCAGTCAAATTTAAGATGATCCTACAGGATAGGTCTGCAAATACTCCAAGTTGAGGGTAAAGAGTGATGTGATAAAATGCGCTAACCACTTCAGTTACCTGAAGAGCTGCACCAGCCCGAAGGATCTGGTTGCTGACAAAATCCTAGCTTGAACTCAAAAAGCCCGTTTAGCTTTCCCTAACCTATGTCATATATATTGTAAGTGAAATGTCCCACTACACATCAAAAAACGCGTTTACTTCGCTATAAACCATTCTGTTTTATTGCACAGCTTGTGAAAAGCTATGAAGATATTACAGGTTTTTGGCTTTCTTCGTAGCGTTGTTCATGTACGGTAAAATAACCAAGGAGAGCAAGTCAGTCGACGAAATTGTGAACCTTAACCAAGTGAAGCGGCTTGGAAGCGTGTTGTGCAAACCGGACCACCTCCAACCTAAAGGTGTGATGTTACGCAAAACAGGACTCGGTTACATGAAAGTTATCAGTGACCAGACACAGACTTGGCAGCAATCTATAAAGTACTTGGTCGTTGGTTTGAGCCATGTAAGGTGATTAGAGTGTTCAAGACGATAATCAACGGTAGGAGATCCTTGGTGATATGACTGAAAGTCATTCACAATGTGGCAGACGTATACACATTTGGCATCCTCAAAGTTTTGAAGATCCTCTTCACCTCTACCTATTTATTCAGTCCCCTAATACACGTATGTCTACCTTAACATCATGTCTAGGATACAATGAATTTTCATGATAGGCTCAAAATGGGCATGAGGTTGATCAACTTTAATTTCCATAATAATGTACTTACAACCCTGAATTAAGTAAATTATTTCGTCAGGTGGTTCTGAGTTATTGTGCACCGCTAGACAATAATAGTTGGACACAAGAAGTAACCAGTACAGAATTTGAAAGCATCTACCCAAAAAAGGTACTGATTCATCCATCAAATACACATCTACTGAAAATTAGTTTATTCATAACCACGTTGTTAACAACCAACTGCTGTTTAGCACTTCAAACTAAACTGTTAACATACTACTATGCTTCTGAATAAAAAGGCTAGGTGATCTCTAAAATATGAGTTACCTTCAGTTCATTGTGTTTAATATACAAATGTACCGGTGCCGAAATCGAGGGTCAGTACAAAGATAGAAAAGGGGGGGCGGGAAATCAATACTCACAGGCTTTAATTTGCTCTCAAAATCTGATGTACTTGATGTTTTTAATTGTCGACGAGAAGACGTTTTATGGATACGAGGAATTTGTGGAGTTGGCAAAAGTGCTGTACGAGTCGTAGAACGAAGACATGTGATATCTGGTTGCTGGGGGGAAATGATTAAAATTGAACCACTGGCTGCTGATAATGGGTCAAGTTTTGATGCCACTTCAGAAGTTAACCTCCATCGACATTTCAAAACAGCATACGGGACAACGTGATCTAGTTTCGTGCGTAATTCTAAATCTTCATCGAATTCATACAAATAAACCTAAAATAGAAATTGAACAAGAATTGTATGCTGATTATCAAAGTTTGAGTGTGATTGTTATCTTTGTACATGATACACAACGCAATAACGATTAAAGACTCATATAGAACGAATGACTGGAATCAGAAGTAGACAAGATTACAAAGAAATCTATCTCTGGATAACATAAAAGAATGGTGCTAAGAAAACCTTATAGATAGCTCGGATACATGAGGCCCGTTTGGCATCATCTCTGGAAACCACTACCAAAATACTCGAATACCTATCAAAGGAAAAGTATACTGCACTACAGCCCGTCCAATCCTGTTATACGCCTGTTAAACAGGATAGTCAAAAGTAGAAGACCTGAAGCGATTACTGATTTTTCATCATACATGTCTTCGTTGCATTGCACACGTTTGATGGAATCATTGTGTGAGAAATTCTGAGGTCAGGTGAAGGGTATTAAGCAAGAAAGACTGGCAAGTCGACCGAGGAAGTTGTGAATCTCAGTCGACTGAGGTGGCTTGGCATGTACTGCGCATCCCAATCCACTACCTAATTCCATGTGTCATGCTAGGGGAAGTTGGATTAGGTTGGAAGATGGTTCAGGGAGGCGAGAATATGACCGAGCACCAGTCCTTGAAGTCTCTTGCTGCTGGCCTGGGTGGTGTAGGGAGATGCAGACTGCCCGGTTGAGGTCTCTGAGACCAAAGGAATCAGTGGTTGAGGACTCTTGTTGACATAGTTGAAAATCGGTCACAATGGTGCAGACATACTGACTCCTTGACATCTTCTAAGGCTTGAATAACCGCACTAGTTTGTCTTCCAATTGTTTATTCTCTCACATAACTTTGTCTATTTTGATATCACTCTTATTCTGTTTACCTGTTATTAGTGTATACTACTGTGAGGTGTGATAACTTGAACTGATTCACTTGTGTGCGAGGTTCTACGTTGACTTTGCCTGTCTGTCTGACTACCATTACCAATAATTATTTTGCACTCAACTTACACGACAACAAATAGACATCAGTAACGTGGAGTCTAGCACAGTTGTGTATCAATTCAATCTGTTCTGCCTTAAAACAACACAACGATCATGAATCAAATAATCCGACGTATTGAAAAACATACATATATGGCACTAAGTTGAAACAAGCCTACCTGAGATAAATGAAATATTTGCTCCAAAGTTAATTTGCTTGGATCTAATAAATCCATACGAGACCATGTAGAAACATGACAAGCATAACCAGGTTGAGGTTCCAAACGATCTTTAGAATTTTGAGCTTCTGGTGATACAATATACGCCCGAGACTTGACCCATCGTACCATAATTAAATAAAGGAACTGATCAATATCTTTGCTTAAAAAACGACTTTGTTCTCGAGCAACTGTCAAATCTGCACACTGATTTACTGATAGACCTGGAAAAGTTTCATATAATTTCAGGTAGGATGTATAATAACATAACTAAATGAAATAATGAAAAACAAGGTATACAGTACTACATTTATTACCAGAATACACCTATTGCTACAATACGAAACGTCCCATTTAGTCATTCAAAAAGCAGCTACTCAATTGAAGAAATATTGATTATTTTGATATTGGTATGTAAAAAAAAAATTTTCAACTGACATTTCGCTATATAGTGCTTATATCTTTATCAAAGTTATAGTAAACGGGAATTTACAATATCCCCGAAGCCGATATATAATAACTTGACAAGTGTTCTTCTGCATGAATGATTCTGAGTCGTCACAACCGTAGAACAAAGACGATAACCATTGTAGTGTGTGTGTGTGTGTGTGTGTGTGTGTGTGTGTGAATTATTGATTGAGGTTTGTATGTACATATATGCCGCTGATAGTTCACATCATATGTATGTTGGTTATGTCAGTATTTCGGGGTGGGCTGAGACTAGATACGTTTTACTTCCTCATTCTTTCCTATTTAGACAATTTTGATTCCACTTAGTGTGAAGAGATTCTCCTAGGAGACGTTTTATATAGTTTCTAAAGCCTTTCTGAACAACTTCGCTATTGTCAGTGAGTTGACCTTGTGACCTGAAATTATCGCATGGTAGAGCTATGGCAGATGTGTTTTCAAGTGTGTTTTATTCAGTCCCGATGGATTTCTAGGAGGTCGGGTGGGAGCTCTTCGGTAATCATTTTTCTTAATTTTGATTTCATGGAAAGTTTGTCCTATGTATATTGCATCATAGTCTGAGTATTTTATTTTATAAACACAATTAGATTGCGAATCTAGAGGGATCTCGTCCTTCGAATGAACTAAGGTGCTGTGCAATGTGTTTGATGTTCTGTAGAACACTCTGATATTGTATTTGCTGAGCACTCTCCTAATTTCATCCGATGTGTGTGATCTGTAAGGGATAACTATTGTTGAGGCCCATAATTTAGAAGTAGTCTTACGACCTAATTTTATCTTATTTTCTATCTTGAGAATGAATTTTACCGGATAATTATTCATTTTAAGTACCTTGTTCACAGATTTTAATTTCTTAACTCTTTCAATTTCATCCGTTACTAGGGTGTGTGCTCTTCTTATGAGACTGGAGGCAACAGAAACTTTCGCACTAATTGGATGTAATGAGTTGAAATCTAAATATTCGTTCGAATGCCTTTGCTTTCCATTTTCTTTCTGCTTATCAAGGCAAGGTAGTTCCCCTTTATCCGTTTCTTTTTCTGATCTGGACGTGATACCAGGAGATTTAGAGTTCAGATGATCCAAAAATGCCTGGCAGCCCCCATCAAATCCCAACTTCGTTTGGATATATCTAAACTTAAAAAAATACTGCTTTACAATTAGCTCTTCATCGACAACTTCACACTAAAATAAAACATTCTTGAGAGTCGAAATGTTGTCTGATATAAAACTATTCATCTCAAATATCAAAAAAGTGATAATTAGTCAATGAAATTATAAGGGTAGATAAAGCATGGAATAACTGACTATTCAGCAAACTTACGAAACTTGGAACAGACTGCGGAGTAAGTGATAATTGGTGTAGTACTAAATAACAAGGGAGGATGGAACGATTATGTCAAGCGGTCAACTGATCTCAGTAACCACATGAGAATAAGAGATGGAGTAATAAAGTAGCTAAAGTTATAATAAGGAAAAAGTTACCATTGCATAGATAAGTTATGAAAATGACTAAGACAAAGAAAAAGGCTATATAAGTTTCTTTTGAACGCATATTCCCACCCTGTTCAAGGGAATTCCGATGGCTTCTGTTGTACTTAAAACACAAACTTAAAACAGGAGTGAGATTAGAAGGAATTTGATAAATTAACTATATCAACTCGGTGTCTACTATTAACCAGATGAGGAGGCCTCGAGCTTCGTGTTTCTTTTGATAATGACAAAGAAGTTTGGAATACAAAACGTTTTCAAGAGCTGAAGAAATAGATCACCGCGAAGGAATGCTAATTAAAGGAATAAAAGGCCGATAGTTGATTTTAGAAACCCTTCAACTTATAAGTTGTCTAAATATTTAGCAATCATACCAGCCCCAACAATACAACAATAGAAATTTATTTACCCGATGATAAATATATTCCTTAAAAGGAACGAAAATGATTAAAATAATTAAGCATGGTTTTGAAAACCACAGTCGCAGGACGGTTAACGCCTGAGGTAGGTAAATGAAGTCACTATCAATGTGTGATGTGGCAATACTGCATACCTGTGTAGGTTACCAAACATCAAAGCAGCACATCGAAATAGTTAGATAATAGCGAGGCACAATAAGTAGCAGAGAAGACAAGTGAAATCACAGTAACGATTAAGTAGCTAGCAATGGAATCGAAGGCGCACGTTTTGCCCAGTTTGGGACTCGTTAGCTGGATATTTGCCTTTCAGCGACCGATGTCGTTCCCATGGAGTCCCGAGCGTAGAAACCATTACTTCCAGCACTAAGCTACAGAGTTACGATAGCCGAGTTATAACATCATATGAAATAGTAACTAACAGCTATAGAAATTGTGATGAACCAGCACTTTGAGACTTTACAATCGGCAGTCAGACATTTTTGTGTCAAGAGCAAACTTTTCCTGGTCCCAAGTCCAAATATAGGAAAAGGTGGCAACAACTGTAGGCATTGTTAACGTTGAGTAACAGTTCAGTGCTTTCACACTCCGGTATAGCTGATAATAACCTTAAGTACGTCTGACTTCACAGGAATGGACCTTCTCCCTGGAAGGCATCTGGTTGACTTGGAGTGTGCAGATGATATTGTTCTGCTACGTGAAGACGTTGACAAGATGCAGGGTTTTCTGAACGGATTGAGCAGAAACCTGAGTATGTTTGAGATGCGTTTCGCACCTGACAAATGTAAAACGATGCTCCAGGACTGGTCTGCAACCACTCCCAATTTACTGATAGGGAATGAGGTGGTGGGATAAGCCGACCACTTCATTTACTTGGAGATTTGCATCAGCTCGTGTGAGCTGGCTGCTGACGAGATCTCAGCTCGGATACATAAGGCCCGTTTGGCATCTGCAAGCTAGCATCATCTCTCGAGACCACTACCAAAATACTCGAATATCTATCAAAGGAAAAGTATACTGCACTACAGCCCGTTCTATCCTGTTATACGCCTGTTAAACAGGACCGTCAAAAGTAGAAGACCCGAAGCGACTACTGAGTTTTTATCATACATGTCTCCGTTTAGTGGAATCAATGTGTGAGCAATTTCGAGGTCAGGTGAAGGGTATTAGGCAAGAGAGGCAGGCAAGTTGATTGATGACGTTGTGAACCTTAGTCTATATAAGTTGCTTGGACAGTGAATGCCAAGACACCATTCTAACTCCACGTGTCATGCTAGGAGAAATTGGATTAGGTTGGAAGAGATAGCCATATCAAAAGCTGGCATCAGTTCATGAAGTCTCATAATGTTGGTCTGAGCTGTATGGGGAGATGTAGACTGAATGGTTGAGATCCCTGAGACCAAAAGAATCAGTGGTTGAGGACTCTTGTTGACATGGTTGAAAATCGATCACAATGGTGCAGACATATATATATTAACTTCTTAACATCTTCTAAAGCTTGAATATTCGCACTAACCTTCATTTTCGAACTGTTTATGCTCTTACACAACTTTGTCTATCTACCTGTTCTTTGTGTACTACTGTGGAGTGTGGCAACTTAAACTGATAGACCTGTGTGTGAAGTTCTACATTGATTTTGTCGGTTGTCTTACTATTCTGTAGTACTTTGATTCTGAAATTAAAAAAGATGCGTTTCGCGCTTGTTGATTTATAATGTTAAGGGGTATACGAATAGTGGAATAAACCCCCTGCTGAAAATTTGAAATTCTGTAAAGTGTAGCATCTTAGATAGAAACACTACTGGTGAGTTATCCTATTAGGGATCAATAAACTGAGTCTATGTATTTAAAGTAGTCCTATGATATAATTTTTAACTCATAATCCTTGAAAGGTGTTTTTTTTAATATTAATGTACATACTAGTTGAGATCTTCGATTTTGAAATAGTAGGTCATGTATCATATCCCTACGCAACCATTCGAGATTTGGATAGCATTATTTACGCTCAAATAATACGTCCTCGGATGCTGTTATTAGGTTGTACTATCATGTGTTTGCTTCTTCACACACGACAGACTAGAAAGGGATAACGAAGTTTCGGACAACGTACACAAAATACAGTATTATATATTTGGAAAACTATGCAGAATTAGCTAGCTGTTTGTGTTTATGCAGTTGTTATTACGGATAGATAACTTGTGTATCACTAAGACAGGTGAAGGGACATAAAGTAAAACCGTACAAGAGAATGTCGGTTCAAATGGTTATACCCTTGAATAGCAGAAAGAAAATGAAGTGTAAAAGGAAGAGTTCTCTGTCTATTACCAAGCGCTATGGCTGATATGGGTATCCTTAAATAGACATACTATGGAAATGTAGCCCAATGGCTTAGGAATTTGACTTTTATTCAGTGGGCCTTGTGTTCGAACCCCACCTTACCTACTTCAACCTAGACAATCAGGTGGTACCAAACATTTTTACACAAGTATGGCTTACAACCTGGCACACACGTATGCTGAGTTGTATAAAGAATTAGAAAACAGAAAATAAGCAAACAACTGATATTTCTCAAACTACACTCTAAGTTAAATAAAAAATATGATGCAACTGAACCTGGTACAGATTGATGTACTAAGCTATGAACCCCAGTTGTTGTGTTAGGGCTAACGACACTATCTGGTATTCCAGGTAGAAGTAGTTTAGCGGATAATGGAACCTTTTTGAACAAGAAAATACCTCATTCACCAAAGCAGTTGCGTGCAAATGATGAGCACTACTCAACACAAATCAAAAAGGAAATGTAGACAGGAAACAAATAAAATATAAGACACCTACCTAACTTTGGTTGACCAAGCCAAGTGTCGGATCATTTCCAGGACCAAGACCATCAGCAGCAATATTTTCGACATCTTTCCAATCTTTAACAGCTAGAAAGCCAGTGCACAAACTTGATTCCGTGCCTGTAATAGCATTGGTGATAGGATTTTTTTGAAGTCTTTTGCGAGCCTGAGAAAATGAATCTTCAAGCGTTTTATTATGAATGAGCCAAGCTTCCTCAACTTCAAAATGAGGCGAAAGTTGAGGGAAACGAAAACTCTGGTTTATCTGCGGGTATATCTCCTCCAAGTAATCCACCGAGTTTAAGCCAATATTTTCAAGGAGGGCTAAGGTTAAACAGAAAATATTTGGATGGAAATGTTTTACATATGCAGACTGTTAGAAAAATGTGATAAAACAGAACCGCATGCGATTAAGTACTGGTAGTTATTCTGTAAAACTCTCGATCACTACCAAACTTCAGTGTACTATGCTAGCTGGAGTAAAAGTAGGCGAAAGCAACCTCGAGGTAGCTAAGATTAAAATGATTCATTGATCTTTTAGGTCGTATGTACGGTGACGTACATTAACTGATTTTGTCCAAATAACAGTAATTGGGGACATTGAGACAATAGTCGAAAAATAAACTGTATCTTTCACCAGTCACCCAATATTCTGTTATTCTGTACTTGTTTACTCATGTCTTTATTCCTTTTTGTAGGTCCTCTCACTGTAGTGTTCACACGTGACAATTCTAATCGGTGCACTGAGCTGAGTCCTCTACTTTAATCGGAAATCAAGGCAAATATCTCTTCTACAGCAGCTAATCAAAATACAATAATTCATTTTACCGTAAGCGACTCTGAGTAACTTTCTTACACTACTAACCGTTATCATCTCCCTACTAATTTTAGTCTGAGAAACAAGAAGACAGGACGCACAAGATATCATTGTTGCAGATGCAGCGGTAAGAGGATCGGAAATAATTGGATTCGATGTTACAGGTAGGGGAATGGTGTTAATAATCAGCTGCTCAGTCTTTAACCACTCTTTAATAAATGAAAAAAACCATTCTAGTGTATAAGCTTCCTTTTTAAAACATCGACTAGCCGCCTGGGTACAGTAATCGAAATGAGATCCTACTTAAGTGAGGTGTAGCATCGTAAACGTCTCCTCATCAGTTTTTGGATGTTCTACGAAGCGACTAAGCGTACGAAAAGCTTTAGCTGAAGAAGCATTATAATTAGCAGTTATCTTTAGGTTGTAACCTACGATAACCCATCTTTCTCCCAAAACCCGAGGTAATAGCTAAGAACTCACCAGGAAAGCGATTTCCAATTAATATTACCATATTTTTGCTGAATTTGATTGCCAGGCCCCATCACTTACACAATTCAACAAATTCATTAAAGGAATGCAGACACGTCATCACTAAGAATGGTTTTCCATGTCTTGACGTCATCGGCAGACAACAGTGATGACCCGATCATCTTTGGTATTTCAATAATGTAAAGAAGAGCAATGACCCAAGAACAGTGCCCGGGAGAACACCACTGGTGATAGTTTACTACTCAGACAGTACTTCACTCACTTTTACTCTTTGTCTTTTGTCGTGTAAGTATTCCAAAATCCAGGCTTGAAACACTGTCAATACCAAATGTGCGAAGTTTGTTCATCAACCGTGTGACACTTTGTCATGAGCTTTGCTAAAATCAATAAACACCATGCACAAAAAGAGTATCCTTAACCATAACCCAGTCATCCCAAGCTGGGAGTAGGTTTTTCAAACAAGTGCCCAGCCAGGAAACCATGCTACTCTTTTGTCAGTAGGTTGTATCTTTAAATGTCACCAAGTATTATCTCCATTACCTTAACCGCAAGATACTAGTAAGACTAACAGGTCGGTAATTGGCAACTAGTTCTATTAATTCCCCTGAATACAAGACTCATCGTAGCATCTTTCCAGTCCCTAGGTAGCTGTCTGAGATAAGTATACGAAGTGCATCAATAATATCGGTCAACAGCGACGGAATCCTAGTAGGTAATCCGTCTGAAGAGGTGACTTAAGGCTTCAAGTCTCTGAGCAGTCAGAGGACTGTCTCCTTCATGATTTTATGAGTCCCACTAGAGGAACATCAGAAACTATGAGTACCCAGAATCACTTCAGGATTGTCAGTAGAAAGATAAATACACTATCTGCTTTAACCAGGTTTGATCCTCTCACATCATTCGCCTCCCTATATGGCGACAAAACAAGGATGTCACCTCTTCTAGTCCTCCTCTTGATATAAGAGAACATGTTTGGGAAAACCCAGAGTTGTCCACTAATAACCTCTCACGTGCTGTTTGACGAATATTGGTGATAGACATATTTTTTTAGACATTACTTTTAACCTTACAATATTCCATTTTAGTCTGTTTATTTCAACTGCCACATAGTGAAACAGTATTATTCACTGGATATTTTTCACATAACTTATAGTCCACATTCGTATCATCTGATGTGAATATGGACAATAAATTATGTTCGGAACGTTACCCAGTAAATAATACTGTTTCACTGTGAGACAATTCTTATAAACAGACTAAGATGGAATTACAGTCTACCGCAGTGCTCAAGTTTTACTCTTATTTTATAATATTCCAGTCTAGATGCTTCACTGCCTGTCTCTATGAATGCATCCCAAAGGCGTTTTCCCTGTTTAGACCTTTGAGTTTGTCTGTTAAACCAAGATGGTCTATCAGAAGGTCTTCGAGTAGTACACAGGGATAAGTGGTGATGGTACACTATATATATTATTAAACCATTTTCAAGCCTCTTGTGTCGAACAACTTACATCAAGAGACCAGTTGGCCAAAATAGTACTATTTCTAATCGCTGACGTATCAGCGCACCAAACATTTTGGGGAGGAGTAGTAGTGCCATTAAATCAATTCCTGGGTTCTAAACTCAAACGTAATTACATGAACATTGCTACCGAATGGGGGCAAATGTTTTAGGTCCATCACGTCCCCCATTGTTATGTGAAGACAGCTCATCCATTGACTCATCACGATTAGGATAATTAACAGTCCGAATGAGTGCATACTTCAGAGCAGTCAATAGTACATTGCCATAAAAACAGCTACCTGGTTCAACTATGGTAAGCTCTTGCCAATTTAAGTGAGGTGCATTAAAGTCTACTACTATTAAGTATCTACTGCTAGTGTACCGCCTCTTGATATAATTTAACCCGAAGTCATAGGCAAAACGATTCAAACTTCTGTGATTTACTCGCATTGTCACGACACTGCTTAGACTTAACTTCGCCGTTAACATCCTCACACGTGCCATTGTTGTGACTCAAAAGAAGTCGAGCGAATCTGAAGATTATAGTGAATATACAGGACTACGCCACCAGCCTTAAGAGTCACGACGGTGTCCGTACCAGTGCGTGTATAACCTGGGATGTCTAAAGCGATATTTACACCCACTGTTGACCGTGTTCCAATGACTACCATTACATCCAGTTTTGAGCGCTCAGCCAAGTCACATAGCCCCGACCTTTTATTCTTGAAACCATGAGAATTATTGCGGCAGACTACTAGAGTTATACGAGTACATTTTAACGAAATTAGACCAGGCGATTAACTGTGGAACTCGCTTCAGAAGTTATTACAGCCCTATCCTCTGGTAATTTCAAAAGGTTAAATACAGATCTAGAGTCTTGTGGTACCGATGGCGTGTACTTGAGAAGCTTTCTATCATCCACAGATCAGGAGGAGCAATACTGCCATGAGACCAGACTAACTAATAATCGATCTGACTTTTCAGGCTTTTCTGAACCAGAAAAACGACTGTGACCACTCCAAACCTAGGATTTACCCCAATAAGACAGAGGTAGAACTTAAAGAACCACCGTCCACTAGTTCTACAAAACAAAGTTTGAAGTTTGACTTGACATATAGTTAAGATATAGGTTGTAAAATCATTAAAACTAACACTAATCCAGTATTCTAACCACCACTTTTCTCTTTATTCGTACACACGTTAAAAACACTGAAACTAGAGATCCACTGATTCTAGACGCAGAAGCCAGTTAAGCGAAAGCTATTCCGTTAACAACCAATTGAAATTTAAAACAAGACTAAGAGTTGGGTTGCAACTTACACAATTTATTCTGCTTTTTTGGTACCTTAAAAGAATTAAGTGCTTCTAATCCAGCCAAGACGGATACTTTCCTCTTGTAGGGAGTTTTCTTACGAGAAGTCATCACTCACACCAGCATTTCGAAATACGCGCCAACTATTGAAACTCACCGCTTAATTTCCACTTTTAGGTTACATTTCTGTGAGAGTAACAGCTTTCTATAAGTAGACTATTTCACAAAGGTTTTTATACTTTTCGATGACATCATCTCATATGATAGGTTTTAAAGAGGAGGAATAGATTGGATAATGTAGCCTTAAAGTCCAACAACATCCAACATAATTTATGTAAGTAGAGGAAACTTATAGTTTATGAGTTCTCGCTTTTGGGTCTGTGTGTTCGGTCCTTTTTTCAGTCACGTTTCCTCGTTGGCTGCCAACTTTACCATCTAAGGTGAATCAGAACAACACACCAACTTTGGAAGTAGACTTTTCCTTGTTCACATTAATTGATTCAGATTCAGATTTGTTGTTTGAGGATAGGAGGCTGAGAGCTAATATTAATTCTTTTCCAGTAGATTTCTGTGCTCTTCAAGCGCCTTTTGAATGAGTTGATTGATGATGCGGACACCACTTCTTCTAGGGGCCAGTTCCAGGCGTTAATTACTCAACGCGAAAACCCTTTCTCTGTGGAGACTATATTCGTCCCTTGCTTTTGTAGTCTCCAACCATATCCTCTGAGGTGTTCCGGTCTGGTGGTAAGGAAAAAGGAGGATAGATCAGGTTTAAAGTCGTTTCTTAGAATCCTGTATGACATGATTAGGTCTCCCTTCTGTCCGCAATAAGACAAAGTGAAGAGATTCAGCTCCTCAAGTCGGTCCTCATGGGTGGGGCCAGCCATCTCTAGGACCAAATGAGGGGATGCCCTCTGAACTCCTTCTAGAAGGTCTGCATTACCTTTCAAACAAGGATTAGCCGCCCGTGTACGGTTTTCTGATTTTGATCTAACTTCGGATGTGCATAAGATGGCGAACATGTCACCACTTATTTTCGTAAACGTTCTGCGTGATGCCCAGTGTCCTAAAACTCCGAGCTGCTACCAATCGACAGTTAGTCATTGTTTTCAAATCATAACTTACTGTGACTCCTAGGTCATTGTTGGTCAGTACTGACGGTAAAGGAGTCCCACCAATATCGTAGGTGTTGCTGTGTGTGTGCCCCAAGTGTATGCTCACACATTTGCATTCATTGATAGGCATCAGCCACTTCCCTGATCAGGCAAACAAGCTGTTCAGGTCTGCCCGAAGCGTACTTATATCCTCATCGTTCCCAATTTCGCGCCAGATTTTTGCACTTTCAGCGTACAGAACCATAGGGGATTTCGTGATACTTGGATGCTCATTTAAGTATAGGAGAAACAGCAGGAGGCCCAGGACTGTGCTCTGCAGCGCTCCACTCTCTACCAACTTCCAAGTGGAGAGTTGAGAATTGATCCTGACTCTCTGTCACCTACCAATGAGACAGTCTCTCATCTATGCTGGCAGACTGCCAGTGATTCCAAAACTTTCCAGTTTCCCGTGTAACCTGGAGTGGGGTACTTTGTCGAACGCCTCACTAAAGTCAATGAAAACGACATGTACAGACATCTTATCTTTCTTAGACATAACCCAACTTTCTCTGACTGTAAGAGGGTTCGTCATCAAAAAAATTTCTACGAAAACGGTGCTGTGAACAAGACAATAGGGCGTTGCTCTCTAGGTGGAGTGTGATGGCTTTCTTCATTATTCCTTGCAGGATTTTCACTACAGGACTAGTCAAACTTATCGGTCCGTGATTTGATAGGAGCTGCCTAGGACCTGCCTTGTGGATAGGTTTTACTACGGAATCCTTCCAGTCATAGGGGATTGTGCCTTAACTAAGAGAGAGTCTGAATATAGGGGTCGATGGGCCGGCTACAGAGTCCAAGCTTTCTGAGCAGCCTTGGGTGCAGCTCATACGGTACCGTTGATTTTTCCACGCCGAGATTACTTAGTACCCGAAATACATCATTGTGATCGATATCCACAGAGTTCATTTGGTTGGATATCAATGCTTCCACTGTTGGGCAAGCGTCCAGGGAAGATTCCTGTTTGAAGGCCTCAGCTAAATATCCAGCCATGGCTTTTGTTTTTTCCCTATCGTCCCCGATCAAACAGGGCGGACATGCCACTACACATCTTATTTCTACAGTTTATATGGGAAGACAAACTCTTCGGATGTTGCAATGCAGCCTGGGCGAGACATGTTTCAAGGTATATTCGAGACCGATGGATAGCTGCGATACATTTATCGCGAGCCTCTTTGCAATGCTGCACCACTTTGGGTGTACCAAGGTGGTTGGCAAGACTCCAACACTTTATCTCACGTCGTAGCAAGATTCGGATCTCGTGGTTTATCCACGGAGGATAGTGTTTCCATCCCCTCGGGACAGTCCACGGAACGGACGCTTGGGTCACTCGTGCATAAAACTGTTTGAATGAGCACCACGCACCTTCAAGTGAGGCTTCTGGAATGACTGTCCAGTCCTCCGAAGATGCCGCCAGGTTAGTAACTTCCATATTCACTTTCCATATGTCTGGTCTAACAGGGGTATCGTCCTGGTAAAAGACGTCCGCTGTGAATCTGAAGACGACCACAGTGTGATCACTGCCAAGGGGTGCCAGATGTCGGGTGAAGCATACATGATCTGTACGTGAGAATGTTAAGTATAAAACTAATGAAGCACGCTGATGGTCATATCCGGTTGGTGTCCTGATATGCTGTGTGGGGGCTAAGGAAATTGATGTTTCCACTGACCTATGGTCAAATAAATTAAGTGATGCTTTTGTTGTTAGTCTATCCTGGCCAACTGACGGTGCATCAAAGTCTCCTGCGACCAGACATCTGCATTTATCTGTCCAGAGGGTCATCTTATTCAGGAGGAAGTCTGCTGCTTCACATTCAGGGCTTCGATATATTACGATTACGTTGACACCTTGTCCTTCGCATTTTAGCTGGCAGCGCAGCACTTCACACGTCCCGCTTTCATGTGCAGCTGTTTCTGTGGCTTTGACAGTTAAGGTATTCTTAACGTAAAGGATGACACCAACACCTTTGTGTGCTAACCTGTCACTTCTAAAGGGAACGAATCGTCGTGTGTTTCACAGTCACTCATCCAAGAAGGGAACCAAGTTTCTGAGATAGCTATGATGTCGGGGCTGTCGTTGCTCATCACGCTACTAAGCTTAATCCACTGGTTTAAGAGGTTAAGTGCGTTTGTGTACAAGACAACGAAACTACTGAAGTCAGTTACCGTCATATCCATAGAGGCCTCGGCATCATTTGTTGCTGAAACCTCATCACACGACAACCCACTACTTTCAGGTCTCACGCTCCAGCCGCTAATCTGGATTTTAGTTCTGCTTCTGCTTCTCGTTATTTGACTCGGTCAGCAAGAGCTAGATCCTTCGCAAGAACGCTCTGGATCCTTGAAGTCTGCAGGCGTTCTTCAGAATCTCATTCCTTTCATCTGCTGACTTAGACATGACTTTAGGTAGCCAAAAACGTTTTTCAGAACTGACTGCTACTCTGCATATCCTGAGAAGGGCAACTCCTGGCATGTTTTCTGGTAAAAGCTGGTTTATCAAACTTTGTACCTTTCCAAGGTCATTTTCGAGGCGTCTACGTGGTTCTGGGTCTCTACTTTCTTCCACTCTGTAAAAGATTACGGACTTGTCAAGGGGCTCTGCTTTGTCTTTGCTCCATGGCGTGATGGTGGCTGGTTCGGTTACCGCTTTCGGCTTCTTAGCATGCTGTTTAGACCCAGATACTTGCCATTTTTCGACAGGGTATGCGTCGTCTACTAAAGCCTAGTCCAATGACCTTGATGGTGAGAGCCTCGAAGCAGACTTGCATTCCATTCTGTGTGATTTTCGTCAGCGACTGGGTCGCCGAACTGGGTATGACCAGCGGCCTGCATGGTTCCGCCGTGGCACTGAGGAGGCTTCACTCTTGTTTCTTTCGTCTGAAGCAGACCCAGTCTTACAGTCAGTAGTTTTCAGACTAGGTATGCTAACTCTGGGGACGCGAGAACCAGAGGATAATGGCTTCACTCTGCTTGGTGTAGTTCCTTTTAGATCTCTGTCAGCAAATCTAGTGGGTGGTCTAAGAGTCTGGCTCAGCTTGTCGTGGGACGTTCTCAAACTTTTGCACAACAATCTGTGTGTAAATGGATTCTGTGTCAACATCACTATCACAGTTATCGACTTTGACTTTTGACGACAGTTTCTTAGTCGTCGTATTTAGAAGTGGTTTTGCTTCTTCTACTATAGTGCGAATATCCGAGCAGCACAATGTACAAGGCCAGGCACTTCCTGCGTCGCCGTGTCTCTTATATGCTGAGGGTGTGAGGCCTGTAGAGTTATCGCGGAGCCAACTCTTACATTCGCTACCAGGGGCTACTGTGAAGCGGCACCCGGCCCTACCAAAAGCATTTTTACAACACTTGGCTCACAATGCAGCAGAAGCTACAGAAATTCACTCAGAAAAAGTTCCTGTCTCACTTTAACCAAATAACGTTCCAGTCAGAGCAAAAATATGACAGCCTTTGATGCGTAAACGCATAATTGCCAAGAATCTAGCTAAACGTGAAAGGTCACTCATCTCTTCACTTTTTGTGCTTTTGGATTAAGTGAGATAGTTTCCCAATAAGGCGGAGTAGAAACTCTTTTGAATGAGCCTCTCATAGTCACTCACTTACTGGTTTGAAGTAATTTTTCAGCGCGTGATGCTCTCCGCACCTTTCGACTAGCATTCGTCTTTGAGTTATATTGCCAGATTGAAAGCTCTTTTGCAGTTCTGTTTTGCTTCGTTTGTTCTCACGTCGAGTTTGACCTGCACCTCCTCGAAATAGTCACCCCATGGTGTTATGGAAATGCTTGTGGTAGTTGAGGGTGCCACCTTTCAGTAGCGCCTGGAATACGTAGTCATGAATGCAAATGTTGATGCTATGACAATTATACGAACCTTATACATGCAACATAAAAGTTATAACGAGGAAGGGAGTATGTGGTCTTGCATGACCAGCTGCTTGGAAATTCGTGGATCC